ATGATTCGTACTTGGGTTAACACCTACGGTATGTTTCTTTATATATATTTACCGTGCGGCAGAACAAACACGTGTGCCCGTGACGTCGCAAAGCATGTCAGAAATGTGCACGGGCGACAGGGTCATGGAACAATAAAATAAATGTTTGAACATGACGCACAGTGGAAATTAATCAGCGGGTCAAGTGTCCGAGAAAGCCACTGCGATGCCATTAAAGTCTGTTCGGTTTTGAGAAACACCCCTGCAATTTATGCGAGGGTTGCCAACCATTCCTCTTGAGCCCTGGTGGTGCACCTGTGTGTGTGTGAGTCTGTGTTGCCAACCATTCCTCTTGAGCCCTGGTGGTGCACCTGTGTGTGTGTGAGTCTGTGTTGCCAACCATTCCTCTTGAGCCCTGGTGGTGCACCTGTGTGTGTGTGTCTGTGTTGCCAACCATTCCTCTTGAGCCCTGGTGGTGCACCTGTGTGTGTGTGTGTGAGTCTGTGTTGCCAACCATTGCACCTGAGCCCTGGTCGTGCACCTGTGTGTGTGTGTGTGAGTCTGTGCGTCGCACCTCTCTCGCGCCGTACGTAGTCAACCGTGCGAACCGGAGGTGCGGGCGAAGGACAACAAACTTAACGCGCAAAAAGCAGTTGTGAAGAAATGCGTTTTCGATGTAGATTTACAAGTGCATAGCTCCATGTGGGCTTCCTAATATCGCAAGGAATGAGCGTTCGAAGTCTCTCACAAGCGTAACATGACAACCACCGACAGAAGTGGGTGTTTTTTCTGACTCCCAGCAAATTCCTTAGCATTACGCATTCAATACCTCGAAGATAGCTCCAGGTAGTCTCCTCGGGTTTACAAAAAAAACACATTTCTAACATTTCTTTTACATTGCCATTGCTGATGATATTAGGAGATTTGGTCTGTGTGCACGTTTTAGAGCAACATATGTTTAACCTCAGAACCAAGGCCGCATCCACACGGAGAATGTTACTGCTATTATAGTTGGTGTAGAAGCATCAGTTGTTTTGCAGCGTATGAAAACGCACGAGTAGTCATGTGTACTTGATGTTCGGTATGATGCATCGGTGTATATTGCACAAGGGGGAGGTGAGAGTGGAACGTGAATAATCTGTGTTGGTGTCTTGCCGAGGGCTTACACTTCAAAATTGTGAAGGTTTTGCGCATTCCTGCGGTCGATTTGATAAAAAAAATGAGATGAACCAGTAATCTTTATATTTACAAGAAATCGAGTTAAAACTGCAACACTGCTGGAGAACATTTTCTGGGAACCGAATTTATGCCGGCCAAGAATCCCTCTGCCGGGAAGCAGGAGCGCAGTGGTTTACACACCGCACTCCGCACCAGGTGACCTCAGTTCAATTCCCAGCCACGTCTCACATCATTGCCGAGTGATATCATGACTGGTCCTACCTCCAACTCCCAAAGCACTCACCGGCGTGGTGAAGTATGGTCAAACAACCCCCATGACAGGACGGCCTGGGGGGACGCCTTCATGCAACTGATGATTAATAAAATACATTATTAATCTTTAAAAAAATATCTCCAATTTACTGTACGTGCGTAGCCAACCGTGCTAATCAGAGGTGCGGGAAACCATTATTAACCGTGAAAATGTCTGACATGTCATTCTGGAGCAAATGTCGCGCAGAAGAATATGTAGGCCACACGAAAGTCACAACAATTGTACCATTAAAACCATGGCACAGGGTGTGTCCCATTAAAGTGCAAAGCATCTCAATTTAAATGGCACAAACCCGTAGTGATATTTTGTTTTCTGACAATAACACGTGACAACTGCACTCGTGTCTCCTAACACACAGTGGCTTATCTACACATCATATTGCACGGCATAACATAAACAGCTTACATTTACAATTGAAGATTATTCTCATATTTGTTTTGTCTATCGGGTGGAATGAATATCGTTTCGAATTGATAACCGCATCAATATGCACCGATTCAATAGACGTCGTTTAATCAAAAGAAAATCCCATCGAGAGATATCACGGACACGCGCACATCTCTGCCACTGGTACGGCGTGTGACATTTAGACGATTTACATCGAAATTGCAGCTTGTAGCCACACAAATACTGCGTTGCAATCGTTCAAAATAGCACTGAATAATAAGCGGTGTAAGTGGTTGGTGCAGCGGCAAAGCACAATGCACAGGGTGGCCCATGTCTTGTAACCCCCATTTAATTATAATACAAACGGAAAGTAAGTTTTATTTAAAACAGAAATGAATATATAAAGGAAAAAATATTAGGGGCCAATTAATTAGGGGGGGGCACAAGACATCTGGACCGCCCTCTACTATGAACTGAACTCAATTACCGACCAATAATAAGATCAGATGTTCGTGGACACATATGCGCGACTCCAGTGTTTTAATTTCTCTCTCATAACAACAAGCCTCGCACACAGCCATCCCCTTATAACTTGCAGCACATCACATTCGCGTGCAAACAAAAACTCGATACGTTTGTAAAACTCCAAAGATTTATTAATAAAACCCACGGATACCTGTACAGCTTGCCATACACAATCATTTTCAACATGCCGCGTCATCATAGTGGACGGTGTCTCCATGGGTATTCATAAAACGGGTTTGTTCCACGCTTGCACGAAATACAGAGTTTCGACAATGTGATGGAATCTGTTCCATAGTATTGACACATTTACTTACACCTGAGAATAGCATCTTGAAATCAACTACAGTTATTACCCTCTGGCACTGTAGGGTAATACTCCCTCCAGCGTTGTGTTCTTAATCAGCAACACCATATCGGGAATGGAGTTCAAAATTTGAGGGGGCTGGTTGGTTCAGGGGTTAAGAGCGCTGAGCGGGCACCACTCAGATTCTGGGTTTGCATCCGAATATTCACCATCCGTGATTAATCAGATTCTCAATTGTGCCAAGTGTATGGTCTAAGGCCCGGTCACGAAGGTCTGCACGCAAAAAGCCCCGTAAAAGAAAATTTGGTTTGGCAATTAACGTGGCCGATTTCCAGCTCTGAGAATGAGATAAATTGTCTGTCGGGTGGCGATCTTACAGCAGGGTGTGTGGAAAAGTGTCAATCCTCTTGTGTGAAGGACAAGGCTACTTGTAGAAGTCACGTAAAAAAATCTCTTCCAACGGAGCACGTTGCCGAGATTTCCGAATGACTTTCTCATCTAATTTCGTAACGCCGAGAGCACAATTGTGATACATTGGGGAAAGGGGGATACCAAGAGAATATTAAGACCGTTTAAATGTTTTTTTTTCTCTGGGAAAAGTGCCACAACTAGAGCACCGGTGGTGTGGTTTGGGGGAAATGTACGTGCTGCGGTAGGCATTACGGTTGTGGGTCTCGTTAGATTAACACTGCAGACAGGGCAGGCTGACTGGGGAGCATCGTGGAGTCTGTGGCAAAAGTGGATGGAATGACAGGGTGCTTAACTGGGCTGACAGGTGATTAAAAAAAGACTCGTCCTGTTGCGATGACGTGCCCGCCCGAGGAAAAACCGGTTTGTTGAGAAGCCTCAGGGCCCTCCCCCCAGCCCACACCCTCACCAGCACCGTGAGCTCATTCTTCACTAGTTTGCTTTTTTAGATCGGCCTTGTGTGTGCGCGCGCGCGCAACGTTAACAGTGGCACGAGTGTGCGACGCTGTGAGTTTACGATGCAGCAGTGGTTCTCATCTTACCCGGGTTACGTGGGCCACAATACACAGAGAGATCGCATGACCGCGCCGCGAAGTCAATGCGGCAATATAAAACGTTATCGTGACCATCGAGGCTTGGATGCGATCAAACTTCCCTCCGGCTAATGTGGTGACGTGACCGACGAGGCGCTGCTTATGGGGCGCCGAGGAGCTGGGTCACGCCTTCCGCCTAATCTCGCGTCGACATCTCGAGATGCCTGCACCGTTTTATGGCACACTCAATGCGCTGTTAAATGGGCTCCACTTCCCACCCACACACACACCCGCCACTGAACATATAACCCGTCTGCCGTGCATCTCTTCGTTGGCTGGAAGTCAAGTTTCAGGTGGAATTCAAGATCCTCCTCCTCCCCCTCAGCCGACAAGGCCCTTTAATGATGCCATTCCCTCGCACACGTGTGGTCTTCTCCATGACTTGCATCCCACTGGGATTTTTGCACACAGCGTTTGTGTACGGTACTATTTCAGGAATATTTTGATGTTTTTTTCCTGGATTTTCTGTTTGCACATGCACACAAAGTCGCTTTAAGATGTTTTTCTTGTTCATGTTTTTTTTTATTTGTTGCGGTTGCACCCGATTCAAGAGCTGAATGGCTCACAGGGCTATACCAAATAAATGAAACTATGATGCCATTACCTCGTACACGTGTGATCTTATCCATCCCTACGTGCCAGCAAGAATCCTCCTCCGGGTCTTACGACTCTGGCCTGCTGCTGTGCGTGCCAAGGTCGACCCTCTGTGCTTGATGGGCAACTGGGCCTTTTCCTGTGTGGCCTCCAAGCTGTGGCATCCCCCCACCCCCGCCCCACCAGATATTCGGTATCAGTGCCAAATCTCTCTCGGTCTTTTTTATTATTTACCCTTGGGGGTTCATTTTATTCGGTGGGATGTTCTTATCATGAGCCTGCGTGTTTTTTTTTACTGTTGGGTTTTTTCATCTTACTACTATTTATTATGGGACATTATTTTCTTGCCAGTATCAAAATCTAACAATAAGGCTTTACCCTCTGGCAATAAAACAGCAGGTGCTAAGATGTTAAAACACCAAACAGAATTATTTTTCAAGGAATCCTGTCAGCATTAACCACACGTACTTATATGCATTGTGTGAAATCAGTTTAAAAGACAATGCCAATATATAATCAGAGCATGTTTTTTTATTTGCATGTTCACTACAAGTAGCCAGGATTCCTTGAATAAGATTTCTATTTGGTGTTCTAACATCTTAACACCTGTTTTATTGCCAGAAAGGGTAAAACCTATTGTTATATTACCATTTATTAGCTCTGCACAGTACTCCGTGAACTCTCGGTGAAACGTGATTTAAAAGTGTAAATTTATTACTTTTATCACAATACCGGTAATTGATATTGGTGCAAATGAATTCCTTTCATCTGAACGTAGACGCTAATTTTTGGACTGTCCTCGTCCAACCCAGATGGGTGGAAACCCTTGTACCACCTCGAGTTGCGCTGACATTAATTTTAGAATGAAAACATTTTAAACCGTATTGCATTGCCAGTGCAGCCCCAATGCGGAATTCCAGCGCATTAGGGCGCACGTACGTGCGATTTCCTTGCTACACCAGTGCATCAGTAAACAAATACAAACAAACAGTTCTTAAATTACTGTTAAAACTATGTTCATCAGGCTGTAGTAAATATGAACAAGTCAAAATAACTATTTTGATTCATATAGCATCTCCATGCAACCACATTCTAAGACTCTTATCAGAAACAATGGGAAAAACATACATTTTACTCTAGAAGACCAAAAATGAGTAGCCCCCCCTTGCCACGAACGGTTCCGTAGCAGGCCCTCGGAGAACCTCCAAAAATAAATATCAAAAATACGGGAGTGACCCCACGGAGTCTTAAGACGTATTGTCAGGAGGGTTGGGAGGGGGAGCATTGTTTATACGCGAAATCCCAAAGTTGTAAGTAATATGCAGGTAATTTGTTTTGCATTGAGACATTTGGTCAATACCAGTCACACATATATTTCAGCTATGGGAGGAAATTAGAGAACTTAAGAGAGAGAAGAAGAAGAAAAAAAAACACTCCATGCAGAACTGAGAGAGGGTCATACCAGCTCCTCCACGCAGAAAGGTGCCCTAGTTGGAACTTTAACTCAGCAGCTTCTTGCTGCGAGGCAGCGAGCGTCTACGATGCGTTGCCCTGCTGCCCTCACCCGGCCAATCGCCCTGGCCAAGCGTGTTGGGGCAAATTAAAAAAAATGGGTTGCACATGTTGGGCGTCACTGGGGGCTCGAGGGAAGAGACGAACACGGGGGAGGTTGGGACGAGCGGTCGTGCCGCAGTTGGCACGATGGGGAAATGTGCCGACAGGCTGAATGGGTAAGGATGCACACCGATGTGCCCGCACCTCCGATAAGAACGCTTGGCTACGTACGGGTGCCAAAGAAGATCTACATATATACATCGTGTGAATGCGATGGTGGTGTGGCGGCTACGTGAAGAAAGCAGGAAAAAGGGTCAGAGGGAGGGATGAGTGGAAAGGGTTGGGCAGACATTGCCATAACTATCGAGTGTGCAGGCCGTGCAACCGCACCAGGCCCCAAAGGCTGGAGGGGCCCAGGTGCCGGACTATGAAGAGAGGCAGGAAATTGGATAGAGGGGGGAAGGGGGGGGGTGGTGGGGAGCATTTCATCCCTTGCCTCGGGGCCCATGGCAAGCATGCTTGGGCCATGGTGGGAACAGCGGCGAGGAGGGAAGGAAGGTGAGCGACAAGCAGCGGCGTGACGGACCGGGGCACAACGTCTGCTCATGACGACCTCTGTACGGTTGCTTCCAGTTAAGGATACGGGTCGAAGGGTTACGATGCAAACGTTAGAGAAAAGCACGTTGTGCGCGAAGGGGGCCCCCCCTGGCGGCAGTGCCGGCGCGGAAGGCCCGGCGCAGCCCTGCTCGGCTCGCAGTCACACCGTCCACTGGGTTCTGTCGAAGCCGCTCGCTGAAACGCAGAAGGAGAGGACGAGGCAGCTGTGGGTCACACGGCAGGTCGGCGTGACGGAGTCGCGCGGCCGAGCGTTTGTTTTTACGTCTCTTTGAACAAAATTCCGCAAGGGCTTCTACGTCGACGTACACTCGTGCCGTGCCCAGGCGACAAATTCGGTGACGCGTTGAAAGTTCCCGGCTGTCAAAAGTCACGGAACTCGGCACGTAGTGATGGGGCAGCACGTAGCGGTGGGGCAGCACTCAGCGGTGGGGCAGCACTCAGCGGTGGGGCAGCACTCAGCGGTGGGGCAGCACGTAGCGGTGGGGCAGCACGTAGCGGTGGGGCAGCACGTAGCGGTGGGGCAGCACGTAGCGGTGGGGCAGCACACACAGCGGTGGGGCAGCACGTAGCGGCCAACAGAGAGGGTGCTGATTTTTACTCACAGCCAGGTTTTTACGCAAAGTGTAAATGCAAAATTCGGAAATTTTATTTCGTAATGCGATGGTTCCGAGTTTGCACGTATTAACAAATTCTGTTGGTGAAAATACAGCGTAGAAGGCCAACAGGCTGATGATAAGACTAAAAAATACAATATATTATGTGGCGATACCTCATGAAATGTTATTCATTAAATCAATGCAACTTGATTTAATTACAACATTTTTATGAAGCTTCAAGCTCATGTTCTGAAAGCCACTGTTATTTGAGCTGCGTGTTTGCTTAAGTTCCAATTTCGAGTGATAATTTCCAGATGAGGCACGCGCGAAAATTTAAACGATAACTGTAACATACATTGTGTATACAACATTCTTTATGCATTGCCATGTTTTGATCACGTGAAAACACCCTTACTAATTGGCTGTGTCGGGTCGTGGCGGGTTTAACGATACGTTAAAATTTACACGATCTAACCGAAAAACCTATATTATGGATAATATTGGTCGCGAAAGCCTACATGTTAAACCAAAATGGTAACCGTACAATGTTTATCCGGTAAAGCCTCACCGAGTCTCAAGACTCACCTTTGGGAGGTTACCTGATTTTGGGACACTTGGCTAATCCAACGACTGAGCTTTTTTTATTCACGGTGGAGGAAAGCAGGATACCCCGAGAAGACCCGTCACGCATACGAGCCAACAGCGTTCAATGCTCCACGCGGATGGATTCAATAATCCACTGCTGTACACATCCGAAAGGAAAAGCTCTACCACGATGCCTGGTATTCCCAGGCAGTCCTCCCGCCGAAGTACAAACTTGGGTCAACCGTGGCTCGGCTACTGGACGGGATCGAGCGCGATCAACGGCGATTTGGTCGCAAGCGCAAGCCGATGCCTTACCTATCCTTTTGATGATCTCCTCGCACTGGTCACCATTGCCAACGTCAAACACGTAACATTCAAACGTTCTGACCTCGTCGGCACCTTTAGAGCTGCGGTCAAAGCACAGGCACACAGACACACAACGCGTACACGTATAAACCGTCGTTCCGTCTGCGCGCGATCCGACGGGTGTTATCGGCAGCTTATGTAATCGATTTTGATCGAGGAATCGATGCGTCGCTACACTCCCCGAGTTTACGATGCCAGTTTTACACTCGCCCGCATCCAAACCCTTCCCTCTCAGCCCTCCAACGTACCATACGCAGTAGCCGAACAGCGAGGGCTTGTCCAACTGTCGGCCCACCGCTGAGATCTCGGTGTAGGCATGAGTAATCAACAGCTGAAATGAACACAAGAGGGTTATAAATGCGTCGCTTGGCGACACGGTAAACGCGACGCGAAGGTTCTCAAGTGGCCGTGCCGACGATGTTCACTCCACACTATCGTATCGTACCCCACCCCCGCCCGTGTGGAATGTTTTCTACACCAAGGGAGAGCAGTTTTGTCACCTGCACCCGCTACACAGAGAGTCACGTTTTGTCGCACGGTCAAACAAAACCAACATTTTAATTCTCAACGGCTGGTATTTAGCTGAAATTAATGGAGCCACTGGTGACGGAGCTGAGACCACCAACTCGCTACACTTGAAGCCGTGTGTGTAATCAGGGGCAGCTGTCTTGAATTCGAACCTAAAATCTCAGCAGTGCCAGCTCAGCACCGGGACATGTCAGCCATCTGGCCACATCCTCCCATCCAAGATTAACCTTGGCAATGTGGCACACGTTGACAAATACACACGTACTCATCCAACGAATTGTCGTGAACCAGAGCCGCTATTTTATTTTAGAATCAAGTTCTGTTTTCTTGGACTAACTAGCACTGCCCGCGCGTTTTGAGTGGGATACACGGCCTAGGGGGAGGGATTGGATGGAGGGTGGGAGGCGTGATATTAGCGCAACGCACGATCCCGGCTCAACGCTGTGGGACGCGGGTGCGCAAGCTGTCACTATTGCGAACTTGCCCATCCATGGCACCCAGCCAGCAAAACTTTAAGAAAATATATATAGTGCAATATTCATCGTACTATTTGTATTCTTGCTCAGCCTTCTCAGTCTCATTTGTGCATGACTGCCCACCACATCGGCATGAACGCAACATTAACATATTCATTCCATAAACTGTAAATAATTTATTCTCGAATGCGCAATTCTAACGTATCAGTGGCCACCCGATGCTAGCCGTCGGTGGGAGTTGATCCCAGGTCGCGGGGTTCATAATGCAGTGTCACCACTCCCACCCTGGCTGCGTCGATGCATACGCCCATTAATAATGCCTACGCCGCCTCCACCCGGTGCCGAAATCGAGCGGCGTCAGAAATAATATTCCCGCGGCCTCGAAGCAGCCCGAGGACCCCTGTAAATATATTTCCCCGGACACTCGGGCGACGGAGCGGTTTGCTCCGCTGGGAGTCGTTCCGCACCGGGCCGGGGGGGGGGTCGCTCACCTTCACCGTGCTCTTGAGCACCGTGACAACTTCGGTTTCCCGCACGTCCAGGTAAACCTCCTGCAAATAAAAGCGGACGCGCGTTTCGCCTGAGCCGCGCGCGATTCTGAACGCGGTCAAGGCTTGTAAGAAACTTCGTGCATGTGCGTCCCCGCGGTTGACTGCACCGCAGTTAAAAAGGGTAAAAAAAGAGTATCACGAATAACGATGGAATAAAAACGATTACACTGTTTCTAGTTTTTTTTTTTACCAGGTAAGGCCCACTGAGCTGTGTAGCTCCTTTTCAGGAGCGACCTGGCCACAAGTGATAGCCCAATGAAGTGGCCTGTCACGTGGAAATGTTATAGCAGCCAAATACTCTAAAACGTTTGTTTCTGGCTGTGGAAGGAAATACCGGAGGAACCGGAGAAAAATCCAAGCGACCACGGAAAGAGAAACACGCAAACTCCATATATACAGCAGGCGGCGGGGTCGGGATCGAACCCACGACCTCCTGTATACCAGGCAAGGTAGTTAACATCTCATAGCCACCGTGATGATGATGATAAGAGAGAGAGAGAGACACGCAAACTCCATATATACAGCAGGCGGCGGGGTCGGGATCGAACCCACGATCTCCTGTATACCAGGCGAGGTAGTTAACATCTCCTAGCCACCGTGATGATGATGATGATGATGAGAGAGAGACACGCAAACTTCATATATACAGTAGGCGGCGGGGTCGGGATCGAACCCACGACCTCCTGTATACCAGGCGAGGTAGTTAACATCTCGCCACTTTGGCACCGTCAACCGTGCCAAAGTCCGTCAGCCGGTGCCTGAATGAAAAGCCGGGAGGCTTCGGCTCTTAGGACACATCGCCCTGGGCTGACGTGCGGGTGAATTTCACGAGAGCTCTGCGCGCGATCATCGACAGCCCTTCCTCGAGGATTGGTATTGGCCTGGGGGGGAGTGGGGGGAAGGCCGAGGTTGACCTGGACTCGCAATAATTGAGGCCGATCTCAGACATCGTAATCTCCGAAGCCGGCGCTGGTCGTGGGGGTCGGGCGCAGGGCAGGGGTTGCCGGGCGATGCCCAGGCTGGGGCCTGCGACTGATCGTTTGATTTTTTGTTGTTGCAATAAAAGCAATTTGGAACTTGTTCTTATTAAAAATAATTTTTTACCATGAAGCTCCACATGGAAAAACATCACGGATATTGTGATTATCTTATGATTAAAAACGATTCCTTCACAGTAAGTTTGTAATGAGAACGAAAAGCCATTACTTGTGCAATTATGAACGTAATTGCAATGAACCATATTTCAGTGAAACACTGTGCAATGAACCTCCGATTTGTGTCTATTCTCAAACTTTACACCGCTTCAGTAAGTGCTGAATGTTTCATTTCGATTAGCGGGTTGTGTCCACCTGTATACCAGTCACGATCCAGGGCTCCCTTGACAAAGAGCCGTGAAATCTCAAGGGGGCTCTCATCGTGTCGAAATGAAGTTTTTTTTTGTACGTGTGTGTGTTTGCAATAAAGCTGCTCTTGCTGATAGCCCGTGGTGCTTTCCTGCAGCACTGCTGTTTTGCCACTGTACCTGTGATGTGAGCAAAATGTTTCCCAATTGAGGTAATGTCACAGACATTGTTAGAAAGGACAAAGGCCCAACATCGCTGCCTTCTGGAAACACGGCATCACACGCATTCACGTGGAATTGTCTCATTCTATAAATAATTAATGCAGCAGTTGCAGCGATGTGTATTTATTTTTTTACACCAGTTACGTTTGTATGGCATGCATTGTTGTTACACACTGGAGAATATCTGTCTCAATAATACTTTCCATCAGGAGCCTCCGCATAACAGATTATAGGCGATAATAAGCGAAATTGCGCGGATAATCGAGTTTGCGGATAAGAGGATCACCCCCCCCCCCGACTGTGCTTTTCAAACGAGAGTCAAAATCACAATCTTTATTTATCCCGGAGAAATCGGACATCCAGTCGAGTGCCCGTGGATCGAGAGCGGAGTGCGGCGCACGGTCGGTGCCGCGTGGGGCGCACGGTCGGTGGGCGTGGGGCGGGCTCACCTGCGGCTGTGGCTTGCCCTTGAGCACCAGCTGGATCCCAAGATTTATTGACTTCACTTCTCCCTCCTGCGACACAAGACGAGACCCGTGTTGGGGGCTCTGTTTGGCAGAGTGACTGTCGCGTCCGGAAGAAACGAGAGGCGGTTTTAGTCGGTGCGGACAGTGGTGCCTGCCACGGCGACGTGTGGATCGGTAACTCGCGACCGTAGACAAAGGAAAGAAGGGAACAAAAGGTTAAAAGAGCTCGCAAAGAAGCGTGCAGAGATGCATCAAGGGAAGAATTGCGAAGGAGAGACGTTGCATTGACTGTTGAGAAAATTACGTGGGTTTGGGCGAGACGAATTGCTCGAAGAGATGATGGCCCGACGGACAAGACTGGTGAAAGAATGGCAGCCCAAGGCGAGAACACGCCCGAGAGGATGATCACCGGGGAGATGCCTCCATCTCCATGATGGGCGTCCACTCATCTCCATATAGAAGCCATCACGTGTGGCTTATTTCAAATCAAAATGTCTTCACTGCATCCAGAATGACATTTGGTCGACAAAATATAAAGGACGTGTACTTTTTATCCTGTTCGCAATGAGGGTGCGTCATTTGGAAGTAAGGATGCACCTTCCTCTGTCCGATTGATTTTCCGAGCAATTTCTGAATCGATTAAACTCCAAGTCCCTCTGTAGGGTTCCCTCTAAAGGAGGCCCTTCTGTCAGGAGTGGTGTGGGTTAAAAAAATAACAGAGCCGCACCCTTCATATTTAATCCTAAACGTTACTAAATTTGAATTAAAAAGTGACGGGCAAATCTGGTATCGGGCTAAGAGGATTCTGACCGTTTGATTAGGATGATTAAACAATTGCTTTAATCGCCCCCGCACAGTTGCAGTGTCTCTGCTGAAAATCAGAACTCACCTTGCCGACAGGCGCACTCCCCAGATACTTCATTATGTGCACGAGTCTGGCAGGGCGAGACACACCAGTCAGAACCACCAAAGATCCCCTTGACCCCCGCCCGCCGTTCAGCCTGACAGACTGTCCTGGCCAAGTGCTGTCCGGCAAGCATCTGTTAAGGTCGGGCCTGTTTTGTTCCAACTGGTGCGTTTCTGGTTTTTGACAACGATAATTGCGGTTCTCTTCCAACGCAATTACACGTTTCAATTAATTAAGTGAACTTTGGTAAGTGCTGTGAATGCGGTGATTTGTATTTCAAAGGGTGGCTGGCAAGGACCGGAGAACGCCAAAAGGCGAACAGTGCAAAGACACTGCAAGTATCAGAACCCGAGCTATAACTGTTCTGATACTTGCAGTGCAAAGACACTGCAAGTATCAGAACCCGAGCTATAAGTGTTCTGATACTTGCAGTGTCTTTGCACTGTTCGCCTTTCGGCGTTCTCTGGTCTAACGCTGGTGAGACAAGGCCATGAAGAAGGCTGTCTCTGGTGTAGGTCCAATCAGTTTAAAAAAGAATGCATACATCATCAGAGCACGTTTGTTTGCATGTTTTGCCACAAGGTACGTGTGGTTAATGCAGATTGAATGCCTTGCAAAAAGCTATCTATTTGGTCTTGATTTGAAGCTTTCATGACTGCAAGAATCCATACTCTTTGGTTCTTTCGGTAAAGTCATCACGTGGGTAGAAAAAATAAAATAAAACTAATCACGACGTTTCGGGCGCAACACAAGCATCCGTCATCAGGTGGGAAAGCTTTACCGAAAGAGCCAAACACTGTCTATTTGGTGTTTGAACATCTCAACACCTCCAGTTTAATTGCCAGAGAGGGTAAAACGTCTTCAATTAAAAAAAAAAAATTTTTTGATATTGGCAAAAAAAGGTCCCATGGATACCGAGTTCAATTCCCGGTCGGATTTTCCAAAGGGCTGTGAAACGTACAATTGCACGACCAGCGCTCATGCGCCCCCGACCACGTTCCACCTGCCTGCCATCCAGCAGAAACTTGCTGGGCCTGGGCGTCACGTCCTGGCCTCCCGACTCGACCGTCTTCTTCTGCTCCTCCACCTCGAGGGGAACGTGCAGCTCAGGCGCCTCCTCGTGCAGGCGCCTGTAGTACGACTTGAGGGGCGGGAACACCTTCCCGTCCCGGCCCACGCGCTTCGTCACCGTCAGCACCACGGGCTCCCCCCGTGCCTTCCTCAGCAGCGCCAGCGCCTGCGACGGCGGAGATCGCGAGCCGGGAGAGCGGTTTTTGTTTTGACGGGCAATAACGTGCAAGGAGTTGTGCGACGCTTTCCAAGCACGCATTCGTCCCCCTCGGAAATAATTAATTAGAGGCGACGTTTCGGTAAAAGCCGCGCAAGATGAGGCCTGCGTGAGTTTTTTATCGCCAAGTTTTAACCTGGGGTGTAATGCTGCAGAATTAAAATTGCTTTGGATCACAGAGTGACTTTGTTCAAAGAGCCTTCGCATGAATGTCTTGTTGCTTGTGCAACAACAGCTGCAATAGGCTGGACGGCGTCCAGTGGTATAATCGTGCTAATCCTCAACCCAACATGGCTGAACTTTTTCAATGCACACGATTGCGTGAAAATGTTTACCAAGGCAGGTAATACACTAATAATATAAATTATTTTACTTTTCTTATTTGCGCCTTAATTACTTACCTAATATTCTAATGAACATTTTTTATTCATCGGCTAAGCAGGCTCTATACCTTGCCTAGATCCCCTGTTGGGATGCCCTGGGCTATGTTGCCTAGGCAAAGAGGGAAGGTTGGGTGTTGGGCCTCCCAGCCTACCCTTTATTACACAGACAGGGGCCACTATTAGGGTTGTCACCTGTCCTGGTTTTCCCAGGATGGCCCGCTTTTTGAGGTATCTGACATCAAAAGCTGTATAATAATAATACATCGCTCAGGATGACGCATTTACTCATAGTTCTCCCACCTTCTGCTATCGTCACAGATATTCTACTTCCCACAATAAAACACTTTTTTTTTGGACCCAGGGAGATGGCAGCGACTCGAGCTGCGACTCAATGGCTCGGCAACGGTTCGACCGTGTTGCAAAACAAGAAACAACGGAGCCGCTTTGTTTTCAACGCGAGATGTCGCACGGCATTCGAAAAGAGCGCGCAAATGTGTGTTTCTTTTGCGCGCAGGAAACGTTTCCGCTCCGTTGGCTACTTGCCTGGCCCTTGGCCGAGTTGTGAATGGAGACGCCGTTGATTTCGTCGATCACGTCTCCGAGCGTCAGCCGGCCGTCCTCCGCCACGTACGTCCCAGCCGTCAGCTGGGCCACCAGGGCGCGTCCATTCACGTAGCTGAGGGCACGGCGCAGCGGCGGTGAGAGCACGCAGCTGACGACGGCGGCGGCGACCGATCGCAGCTCGTGCCGCACGGGAGCGCTGATCCGCAGAGCACTCGTGAGCGCGCACAAATATAGCACGCGGCCAATGGATACCGTGCCGCATCCTGAGACGACTAATGGTGGAAGAGAATGGAAGACTTGGTAATCCACCCTTCACTATGATGCCAGAATTAATACATGATTGGGAACATCCTTCTTAGCAAAGGGTCCAGAAGGAAACCCACATTAGTTTCATACTGCAGAGTATTTTTTTAAAGTTTTCACTTTTGGTTTAACAAGTGAAAATGAGGCCTAATTTCACGGATAAAATCACGTAATTTTTTTTTACTTTTAAAAGAAGTCCTCAAGCTCGGCACATCACGACCGTACGACTGCATTACAGCGCTTGGGTACAAACGCGATGCAGTCGCAAAGTTGGGCAATGAAGCGGCCCAGTGGCTTCGCCGCTTGGTACAGGGATTCACGGTTTGTGTCCGGCAGCCGCCCATGCAAATTAGACCATTCCGCTCCCTAGAGTTTTCACCTAGCTTTCACAAAGTAAACTTAAACTTGGAACAGAACTGCGGACAGGGAGGTTTCTACACCGTGCTACGATAAATTAATCCTGCACACAGCTTATGCAAGCGCGCACGATTCCCACCACATCTGCATAGATGAGGGCGCCGCGGTGGTGAGATGTTAACTACCTCGCCTGGTATACAGGAGGTCGTGTGTTCAATCCCAACCCTGACGCCTGCTCTATATTTGGAGTTTGCACGTTCTCCTCGTGGTCGCGTGGATTTTTCTCCGAGTCCTCTGTTTTTTTCTTCCCGTCCACGTTTATAAACCTGCATTTAAGAGTATCTGGGCTGCAAGAAATGTCCACGTGATAAGCCACTTCGTTTAGCTATCATTTGTGGCCAGATCGCTTCTGAAAAAGAGCTGTATGGCTCAGTGGGCCTTACCTGGCAAAATAAAAACTTTAGCAATTTAGTTTTAAGTTTAGATACAAGTGTGCCATGTAGATTCATCTGTGCAGGCTGTAGATAACCAGCTAATATAGTACTTAGTGCTTCAGGCACACCCTTCAAGTGACAACATCGCAATTAATATCCTGCGCACCTGGAACGTAACCTTGGCCATATTTTGGAAGTGCTTCTGTAGCTAAATGGGAAGCAGACTTTAAATGATGCACCAACTGAATGAAATACCAACGTGACAATTCGGTCACAATTCAATTCCAGAGTTGATTATTTAGTCGTCTCATTTTTTAAACTTTCAATGGGTGTGAGGCCACGAAGACAGACTCACTACAGCAGGGCTCCCAGCTCCTTGCAGGGGACAAACTCGTACACGTGCCGCACCTGCAGCACAGAACACACGGACGGCCGTGTGATTAATTCTATATTAGTAATTATAATACTGCTATTTATTTAACCAGGAAATGTGACTGGGTGGCACCGTGTTTGAGTGCTTGGCTCGCAATTGAAAGGTGACAAGCTATAATCCTGGTCAGGGGTCCAACTCAGCCCACCGTCCTTCTGGGGACCCATTAAATTAGTACCACTTTGTGGGTAAGTAAACAGTGGTCATCCTTTGCAAGGATTTGCCCCCGGCATATGAATATGGGATAATTATTTCATTGGCTCAGGGCCGCAAAACATGACATGAGTGTGTAACGCTTAAAAAGTTAACACAGATGGGTTGACAAACCCATTTGCTGCCCTGCCATCTTCGAGGCCACCTTGCAGCCGACAGTCGATTTTGGGAGTTTAAAAAAATGTTGCGATCCACCAAACGTGGCCCATAAAGCGCTGGACTTAAGTTGCGCGCCACCACGCCCATGACTGAAATGTTTCTGCAAGAACCATGAAGAGAATGACAGCCTGCGAGGCAAGGCCTTAGGTGTGTTGCAGTGGCGTGAGTGTGCCCTCTTGTGTTGCAATGTCGTGATATTTATAGCTCTACATATATTATAGGAACCTTAGCACATTCGTCAATAACATTGCCTTAAAATAAAAACAAATACATAAGCAACGTTCGGGCAATGGCCTTTCCCCATTGAGCATAAGAACGTTTATTTGAAATTGCAATGAGAAAGAGCAATTGCCCGCTGTGTCTCCAACTCTATATATATTTTAAGGCAGTGTTTTTGACGAATGTGTTGGTCTTGTGCTTGTACATGGCTGCCAATGCAGCATCACCAAATGTTTATATTGATATGTGGGGTGGAGTGGTGGTGCAGTGGTTGACGCAATACTTTATGAACCCGGCTACCCGAATTTGAATCTAAGCCACAGATAATATCAATGACGAGGTAACAACTGAACCACATTTCCCTTGCGCGCGTTTGTGCGGCGAGACCGATTTAAAAAAAAATACCACCTATGGCGATACGGGGAATTCACGCTGCCTGGTGTGACATCACACCAACGGTACTCAGACATCACACCAACGGTACTCAGACATCATACCAACGGTACTCAGACATCACACCAACGGTACTCAGACATCACACCAACGGTACTCAGACATCACACCAACGGTACTCAGACATCACACCAACGGTACTCAGACATCACACCAACGGTACTCAGACATCACACCAACGGTACTCAGACATCACACCAACGGGACTCAAGACATCACACCAACACGTGTAACAAACAAAAAAACACTCGGCCTTTGTGCAATACGCAAAAAAATAATCCATCAGATGTTCCTGAACAACTTCATCGTGATCCTCTCGTCTTCATTAACCATCAAAAGTAGCTGTCGGCGGTTTGTTTTGTATAATGCATAAAGAGCAGAGTGCTCTTTACACGTCTCTGCGAGTTGTTTGAAACTAACGGTTTGCCGGGCCTGCGTTATCTTTCTGTGACGATGGCCGTTCCTCGCCATTCACAGGTTTGATCATCACACCGACGTCGCAACGGCGGCGATATTCACGACACTGCAGTGCCACACGAATCGGCGCTGGCCTCCACGGTGCAAAGACCACCAAGCTCACGAGTGCAAGTTCAAACTTGCGCCCTGCTAAGTTCGCACGGGCTGTTCTGCCAAGCCCTCTTCAGGATGCCTTGACCCGCGAAAGCTTTCCGGTTTGTCTGCTTGAGCATGACGGTGTACGTACTCACGGGAAGGAGCCAGCTCTCATCCAGGAATGTGGAGACCTGCCAGCACAAGCGACACATCAGAAACAACACAAATACAATTTTCAAGCGAGTCCCACTCTGCCAACGAGGAGCTCCGTGTCGAAACCGATCCACAGCTTGCTTCTAACCCAACCAATGCTGCTGAAAGGAAAGCCGTAGGGCCGATGGGTTGTGTGTAAAAAAAACTTTACATGTTTTTTTTTTACGTGGAGAGATGAGATATATGAAGGAGATATATTGCCCACATCCATCTCGCAATACTGTTTGGATTTATGTGTGTGTGTTGAACTTCTTTAGCACCGTACGTAGCCAAGCGTGCTAATCAGAGGAGCATTCAGCCAAATGTAGCTACATCGATAAGACTGTACAGACGCTGTAAAAAAAACAGAATAAGTCCTTCACGGGGAACCACTGACAATGTGGTTACATATAATCGACTCCCCGCCTTGGCCAACAGCAATGGTGACCAATGTCTGAGCTGGCCCTGGGTCCGCTTCCAACCCGCACTGACCAGAGTGGTGAAGTACGGTCAAAAACCCCTGTGACCGGCATGGCACGGGGAGGCCTTCGTCCACGCATTCACAAAAGGGGGCATGTTTTTGTTTATTTACTTATTTTCAAGGCACATCGCAGACGTGGGACAGCCATGGGCAGAAGAGAAAGGGGAAGCTCGTGAGCATGGAGGGCAGCAACACAGAAGTGGCCTCCCATCACAGCGTGCTATCTGACAATAATCGATATTCAACTTAATTTATATTATACATTTTTTTATTGCGATTATGATTTGCTCGCCATTTTTTATTTCGCTTATCTTCGTCCGTTCGTTTCTCAGTCCGCTTGTCCCGGTGACGGTCGCGGTGTCAGCGTGTTGAGTAGGGCCGTTCAGACCTCCCTTTACCTGGCGACAGACTCTAGCACTACACTACTATACACTACTACACTATACTATACACTACACTACTATACACTACTCTATACACTACTACACTATACACTACTATACACTACTCTATACACTACTACACTATACACTACTCTATACACTACACTACACAATACTACACCATACACTACACACTACACACAGAATCTGGCTCTTCCTGGCTAATCCCCATGCGTTCCCAGGCCAGCCGAGCGACATCGTCCCGCAAGCGTGTCCTGGGCTGGCCCCGGGGTCTTCTGCTGTGACTTGTTGCGTAAGTCGGAGAAGCAGTGTTGTTTTTTGTTGATGAAACCCGATTTAAGGGCTTCTTGGCACACAGGGCAATTCAAAATAAAGTGAAACTGATCACGGGTTTTGTCAGAAGTGCGTGGGGTAATGGAGTGGCGAGCATGTGAAAGGGCAGGGAGGATTGTGACATTACATTATTAATATCCTCCCACCCGCACAGTAAAACTCACTTTTGAATATAGATTTGTTTCATATTGTAACAAGCAGTGTCTACAAGAGTTACAAATTCCTATGTCTGAAACCTGAAGGATGAACGATCCAATGTCTGCGCACGTTACGTGAACTGTCTCCCCCATTAATTTACCGGCGAAAAGCATGGCTCTACAAATCACACATTTGTGCGTCAGCAAGAGTCTAATCCGCTTGCAGGGTGAACAGCAAAAAAAATAGAGTGAATTGCAGCAACATGGTGCAAGCGCACAAACGCAGAGGTGGAGAGATGACGTTTACTTACAACCAAGGGACAGTCCATCGAGACCACAAGTCGATTGGTTAGGGAAGACCGAGGCCGAAATGAGTACAGCCAAGCAAACATAATACGCACAAAACAAACAATAGACAGGAAGGACAAGATCAATGGGCTCGCATAATGCGCATGTATAATGTACGTTGACTCAGTAACCCCCCCCCCCACACACAACTTTGTGCAAGATCGCAGAAGTGTGTTTTTTATGGAAGACTTTGCAGTTTTTTCCCTGGATTTTTATGTTTGCGTAGTCACTTTAAGATGTTTTCCTGTTCATGTTTTTGTTTTATGTTTGTTGCGTTTGCACCCGATTCAAGAACCGAATGGCTCACAGGGCTATACCAAATAAATGAAACTGAAACCACATCTACGCCTCTATATAAGGAACGAAACAGACTTCTCCACAAATCTGGCTGTCGCCTGATGAAGCTGGTTGTAATTACTGGCGAAACGTCGTACTCAGATTGTAAATGTTGTGGCTTGGCTCTCCAACACACCGGTTGTGCTGTACTAGTATACTACACTATACACTACACTACTATACACTAGTGCTGTATTAGTGACGAATTGGCCACGTTCTGTTTACGTGACAACCCTTATTAGTTGGCTGTGTCGGGTGGTAGCGGGTTTTAACGACACATTTATATATACGTGAACTAACCAAAAAACCCCTCTATTATGGATGGTATTGGTCGCGAAAGCCTACGTGTTAAACAAAACACAAACGACCACACCACTGAGATATTGAGTGCAAATCCCAAACGCCATTAGCGTGTGCGTCTGCGTTTTCGACCAGGATTCATCGCAGAGATGGAGCGCACAGATTCTCGCTCCCCTGTTTGGATCGGTTACGCGATGGAAACACCGAATCCACTGAGCCCTCGAGATTGCCATAAAGAACGTGTTTCATAGCCCATCACACTACCAGGTAAGGCTGAAGATTAAAAACTAAAACAATTAGGAAATGTTTTTTTTTAAGATTTAAGAACAGGACTTGAACCGATAGTGAACATATATGCACATGTAAAAATTTCAAAGGACTTCAGAGTAGATATGGGGGAGTGGCTGCACGCCGGTTGGAGCACTGCGCTAAGAATTTTAACAACGGAGTTTGTTTTCTGGTCTTGGCTAACAGTGGTGGTGCTGTCACATAACAGTGTTTGCTATTGCGCAACATTGGGAGTTTTAAAATAAAATGTAGTAAAACTACACCTGCTAGCTATTTGAATTTCCGCAACTAACAACCAGAGTTCGGGAGTTTCTGTTTGATTAAAGTCTTATATTTGTAGATAATGTGTTGGTGAAGACAGGGCTACAGACATACACGATTCCCAAGCGAATAACTAGCTCTCGTGGGAGAAACTAAAAAATAATGGTTAAGGCAGTGAACTCAAAGGCAAGGTTTTATAACACGGCACATTCTCAGATCTTGAAGTTTTTAAAACCAAGCGGTCGTGTCTTTTACACCCATTATGTATCTCTGCGGCAAGCAGAGACTTGCCAACACTGTGTGTGTGTGCGCAATAAAACTGGGGAGACAGAGCAGGGGGGGGGGGGGTCACACAGCGCCTGCAGCAGAAGACGATGGTGAACAAGGTAGAAAAGGCAAGTCCCCGCGTCTTCTCCCCGGAATTTGCGCGCTTCGCCGCAGGTATTCAGCGCGCCGTGTACAGGGCGGCAGAAGTCCTCACAGCAAGTCGCATCGTGGCCAGCTAAGGATTAACTGGCGCCCTTCGGCGAAGAACCTTCACCGTCGTTTAATGAACGAATTGTGGAAATAAATTACCGACCACTTCAGTGGGATTTACGAGCGTCGGATTGAAGGAGTTGGGCACGCGAATTGACGCGAGCGTTTGGCTGGTGCACGTGCGCGCCTCCCTGCTTAGCGAGCGCCAAGTGAGCAGCGAATCCACCACCCACAACCTCGGATTCCATTCAGGAAATGTATTACATGCACTTTTTTTTCATTCTAACCTTAGCAGCCACTAGTGGTTGCAGGCATCGCTTGAATTCATTCGACGTGCAATATGCGAACTGAAGAACAATTGGAACCATCGATATGATGGCCTTTGTGCAGAAGTGGATTGACTGTAAACGGTGAATAGTTTGATATTAAGGGGGGGGGGGGGGGGGGGGGGGGGGGGAATTTACTGAAGTTAATTTTTATGCAGTGAGTCAGCGGCTCATTATAGCCTCACAAAACCAATGAGTCGCTCTTGGGGGGTTGTGGCACCATCTTGTGGCGCAGACTCTTAACTGCAGCACCAAGAAACCGCTCACTCCCAAGTCTTTCTTAAGAGCTTTTCACACAAATACGTTTTTATGAAAAAATGCGTAAATTGTAATATTTTACAAGATCTGGGAGATCTTTTGTTTAGCGACATCTAAGTCTGTCTTCAAAACTCACCTCTTTAAACTGGCCTTAACCCCTGTGTTCTGACCATTTAACGATGGTTCTGTTTGTATCCTGCTTTCCATATATGGCACATTGGGATCTACGGATGAAATGCTCCTTCCAGATGTAAATTATTATTGTTATGGGAGGACGGTGTCCCGATTAAGAGAAATCACAAGACGGAGAGCCGCTCATGTTTGTGACGGACAAACAGCGGTTATGTTTACACAAGCCTGAACATCACCCGATTAATGTTAATCTGGTCAAACACGTGACACGGGTTGGGGCATCGCCATGGTGAACACTGTAAAGATAACACGAGCGGTACTCATCCAGAATGAAATCATAGAATAGAATCCCCACCCTAAACCTCAACAGGTCAAATATTACCGGGGCGGGTACATCGCTACACATCTACGCTGTAAGTTCAAAAACGCGACGCCAGGCCAACAGGCACACCAGAGGCTGATGTTCACACTTGCGGGCCACCACCTTACCTCCAGCTCCAGGTTGAAAGAAAGTTGAGCAGCAGCATTCACCAGGGACAGGAATGGCTCTGCAGAGCACACACAAAAAAAAAACACACACCACGGAGTGCACAGCGATCGCAAAAGCCACGGGGCCAACTCGATACCAAACGGGCCCAATCTCGTTGAAAATTGGGAGACTAAGCCGGGTCAAGCCTGGCAATACCAGGGCTCTGTAGGCCTAGGCTGCAAGGTGGGCAGGAGATGGCAGACCATTGGATTCTTGGATCTGCCGACCTATTGGAGCTCGTAGTTCCATTCTCTCGTCGGATTTTTTTCCAGCGCTTTGGTTTACTCTCACGACGTGGAATTGTCCAAGTATCCCAATGCAGGGTCCTCCTGAAAAAAGAGTCTTGAGGACTTAAAAATAGCATTTTCACTCTCATTATATTACAAGGCGTAGATTCATACGTAACATACATAGATGGTCCGTAATCAGAGAATAATTCAGTACCACCTTACATTGCAAAAGCGTAGTACATAAAGTCAATTAAACATATCGATAGGAAACTGCCTACTTTTACTATTAATTCTGGGGTCAACATAATGTATTGTCTACTTTTGAGTGGAAATAAAAGTGTGTACATGACAAAACTTGTTTTTGACAATTTTTTATGTTAATCTTGTAAAATAATTTGTATATGTACATATTCATTTATGGATCTCAATCTGGAAAATAACAATAGTTCATTGTCTAAATAATTTTAATATATTTGAAATAGTGCAATACATTTTTGTTACAAAAAACACGAAGCCCAGGATTGGCTGGACCTGGACCGGTTCTTTAAATTACATATTGAATTGTCAATGTGATAGACGAGTCTGTGTGCAAAATTTCAGCTCGTTAGGCTTCGTATATCCGAATATATTAAGATTTGAAAGAATATAAGCAGACAGCAGGGCAAGTTAAATAAATGTGTGTGAAAAGCGTCGTGATGCATTGATTTAGCGATTAAAGCTGATTCTCATGGTCGTGCATGTCACAATTGAGCATTTTCAACTCACAAGTTGTGTGAATTGGGGTTCACATGAACCCTGCGGACACTAGAGGCTCTAAATTCTTATCATAGTTGAGGAGCATGGGTTTGAGGGTCTATGACGCGAAGCAGCCCGTAACAGAGAGATTGTACAGCAGATGAGAACGTGTTTCTTGAATTTATCGCAGCTGTAGAAACTTGGGAGAGGAGTTGACAGGCGATCATTCTACATTTGAGCAGCGCAAGCGAAGGAGGATGAAGGGGAGGCGTTGTGCCCTGCAGTAAGGAAGTCGAACCCCTACATGGAAGGGACGGTACAGTCAATCTGGCTGCAGGGGGCCATGGAAACCCATCACATGCAACGTATATACGAACAGGAAACATTCGTACACCTGTGATGAGATGCGTGGTGTATCGTGAGCTGAAGAAATCCACGTTCATCGATGGATTGACGCATCGCTCCGCCTCAAAATGAACAGTTGTAGCAATGTGCTTTGTTCGAGCAAAGTAATACACTCAAGTTGTCACATGATGAGCTTATCACAAATGCCAAAGTCCGTTACCGAACACAGCACGTCAGCCGGTGTCTGAAATAGTCAGAGCCAGGGAGCGTTTGTGCTCTTCAGACACATTGCCAGGTCCTGATAACAATAATAATGATGACATTTATAACGCGTGGGATTTTGCTGACAAGTCGACGACTCAGAGGTGTGGAGGCAACTTCGGGGCTGCTCGAAAGCCCTGACTCAGCCAGACAGACGGGGCCTCTGGACGTTTCTTGAAAGTCAGAGTGCATTTGATGGTGCGGATGTGCAAAGGGATTAGAGAGTTCCACAGCGAGGGGGCGAATGCAGAGAACCCCCGTGAGGCTCTAACAGTAAAGTGTAGTGTATAGTGTAGTGTATAGTAGTGTATAATGTAGTGTATAGTAGTGTATAATGTAGTGTATAGTGTAGTGTATAATGTAGTGTATAGTAGGGTAGTGTATAGTAGTGTATAGTGTAGTGCATAGTGACGTGAGGCTGTAACAGTAAAGTGTAGTGTATAGTGTAGTGTATAGTAGTGTATAATGTAGTGTATAGTAGGGTAGTGTATAGTAGTGTATAGTGTAGTGCATAGTGACGTGAGGCTGTAACAGTAAAGTGTAGTGTATAGTAGTGTATAATGTAGTGTATAGTAGGGTAGTGTATAGTAGTGTATAGTGTAGTGCATAGTGACGTGAGGCCGTAACAATTCGAGACTTGGGTGTCCGAAGCAGAAGTCGAGTGACGCTACTGCTATGTAGGGTTCTCCAGCGAGCTTCAGTGCAAGGTTGAGAGTAGTGATGCGAGTTGTTGTGGTGGTGGTGGAACCGGTGGTGAAGGCGCGATGGCAGTGGCACGCGCGATTTTATAATTTGCCCTGCTGGCGAAAGAGAGATATGCTGGCGGATTAAAACCAGAGCTCTGTGCGTGATCACCGACGGCCTTCCACGGAATCAGAGGTGGCCCAGGGGCAGACCGAGGCTGACCTGGATGCCGGCGATCGAAGCCGATCTCGGGCATCGTCATCTCGGCCTGTGCTTGGGGGTTGCCTGGCGATGTATCGCCTGGACTGCTACGCCTCGGACGCGTTCTGAGACTGACTGATTGACTGATTGCCACGTGGTGTGGGCTATGCATAGGCTTTATGTGACCGATTCGTGTTCTTCAGCGCGAGTCGTAAAAAAACGAGGAGAGGTGGTCTGTTACCCAACATGTCTTCGTTGCCAATGATGGAAGAGTCGGGCTCGTACCATTGCTACAGAACGGCAACACGAAAATCACCATGAGCACAGCATGACCGTTACATCCAACATTTGTAGTTAACACGTGTAGCGTCGGAATCGCGGATGCACACACCGCCGGTATCCACTGACCTGCCGTTCGCCTGTATCCACTTACCTGCAGTTGCAGCCAGAGGTCGGTAGGGTGTGCTAGCCAGAACAAGGGGATAGAGAGGGAGCCGGACCCAAGGGAGGCTGGGTTCCCCTCCCCTACCCCAGGTGGGGGGGCTGGGAGGGGGCCCTTCCAGGATCTTCTGGAAGGTTCCAGAAAGGGGGCGGTAAAAGGGGCGGAGGGTTCCCTGGAGGTGTATAAAAGGGGCACCCCAAGCGCTGGGACCAGTGGTCGAGACCCGTACCTTGGCTGGGTCGGGTCAGATCGCCTCCCCTAGGGCACTGATAGCCGGAGAGCTAAGAGTTGAGTTGGCAGTGTGTGAGTCACGTGAGCCTGGAGGCTGTACCTCCCTAGATAGAGGATGATAAGGAAGTTATCTGTTAGTTAACAATAAACCGTGTTGCCTCTACGACAAGTGTCTCCGTCTCCATAAGAACTCACTACAAATGTACATAAAGCTACACCTGTGTTAAACAAGGGCGGAGTGCAGCCCAGTCACGAGCACCCTGCACGGTGAAACCGGCGACCCGAATTCGATTCCCAGCCATGGCTAACATCAGTCGGCGAGTGATACGAGAATCGGCGCTGACCAGCGTGGGAGTAACAACCGCCACGACCGATACGGCACGGAGAGGCCTTCACCCAATGGCTCAGAAGTTAGAAGGCTGAGTCGGCACCTCTTAAATCCTGAGGTTGAATCCAGGCAGCCGCCTGTGATGGTCTAGGTTGATGGTCATCAATGACTGCACGAAAAAAAAACTTTCACGTGAAAGTTTGGATGTGCACTTAATTTGACTAAAATTCCAGTTCTGAGGATGACGAGTTATCAGTTTGACCGTCATGCTATGAACGTTACTCACGGCCAACACCGGTGACGATTATCTGAACCGGTCCTAGGCCTCCCCCCTATGTTGATTCAGCGTCAAATGAGTACCTGGTGCGATGTGTAAACATCGGGGCTAGGGAGACAAAGGCGGCTGTGCGTGGTGCTGGCCACCCACTGCCATACTTCATAGCTGCTCGCTAACAGCACTTGCCCCAACAGTCTTTTATAGGCTATCCGGGGGATTATTTGTCTTTGTTCCTGTCAAGAGGCAGAGTGTGTGTGGAGAAGAGCTGCCCCCTAGTGCGAGCCAGAGGTCACTTCGAAGGAATCTCAGAGGAAGCTCTGCGTCACCCGCTTCCGCGAGCCGTTCTCTAATACTGGGGGCTTCACTGCCTCGTGAGAGTTCCGAATGGATATACTTCATCACACGACATGACGCTGATGCCACGCCGGTAATTATCAAAGCGGGAAAAAAAGACAAATACATTTGATGAGGCCACAGCATTTCAATACAGTAAAACCTTTGGATTGCGAGTAACTTGGTCTGCGAGTGTTTTGCAGGACGAGCAACATTTTAAAATAAATATTAATTTTATAAACGAGCGAGGTCTTGCAATACGAGTAGTACGCATATACGCTTTGTCTGCCGAGCGTCACAACTGATATACGAGTGCTTTGGATTACAAACACGTTTCCGGAACAAATTATGCTCGCAATCCAAGATTTTACTGTACGTGCGAACGTTCGCCAGTTACTGTCGTTGTCAAGAGGCCGGTACCGACCACTTTGCTGGTGACGTGACGACGAACAAGACAAAACGTGATAATGGCGGGGAAAAAATATTTTTAAAAGTTATATTAAGGCAGTCTTCGACTTACGAACACTCAACTTACGAATCAGCTTCCATGAAATAAAACATTTTTTTTTTACATTGACTTAAAACGCAAATTGAACCACGACACTATTGTGTCCACCTGATCGATCCTCCGCGACGTGTAAATGAGTCGGCCTCGTGCTGGAGGCGAGTGTCTGTGCGGGCATTTAAACACGCAGTCGATTGCTGTGTTCCGCCTTACGAACGTGGCCTCAGGGACGTAATTAGCGTTCGTAAGTCGAGGACTTCCACCGTATATATTTACAATAAAATGAAATATCCGTCCGCGTCACACCACCTGGAGCATGCAGGGCTGGCGTGTGAGCTCACGGACGACGGAGCTCAGTGCCTTCTTGGTGAGCGCCACCCGCACCAGCAGCCGGCCCCGGCCTTGGGCCGTGAAAATGTCCGCTCGGGATTTCACCATGTCCACCAGGAAGGAGAGCAGGGGGACGTTCCTTGGGGAACAAACGCGCCGCGTGTTTCGCGGGTCTGTGGCGGCCGACAACACGCGAGCGCCGTTGACGGCAGCGCCTTCACGGTTGGCTGCGTACGGTGCGAAAGAAGTCACAACGTGCGTACGTGTTTCGCTGCCTTACGAAGATCAACATACGTACATGTATGTACGTTGAACTTCTTTAGCGCCGTACGTAGCCAACCGTGCTAATCGCAATGAGAAGTTGTTACTTTGGGCAACGATGTTATATTTACACCACGCTAAGCTGCGAATAAAGTGGCTTAGCAAAGCGGCTGGGTGGTGGGTCAGAGGTCGGAGTGTTGAGTGGGCACCGTTGAGATCCTGGATTCAAATCCATAATTCAGCCACCAGTGATTAAAATTGCGCTCTCAGTTGTAGCGAGGTGATGGTCTCAGCCCGGTTACCAATGCCTGCATTAAAAAACCAACACATCAGATGCCATTTGGTTTAGCACTTAACATGCCTCAATTCCAGCTCTGAGGCTTAAATATATAGTTTTTTCTGTTCTCATTTAACCGTCGTTACCAACGTTGTTGTTCACAGCTCTGGACGATCCAAGCAAAGCTAACAACAACTGCAAGCCCAGTTCAACAAACGTGCTCGGCGCACCACTCTCAAATGCTCAGCATAGATCGCAGTCCAGCGGGGGATCCTTGCACAAAGGAGAACGATCATCAACCGCCGTGGTTCAAAGTGATCTTTATCGAGGCCGCCGTGCGAATGCGAGGCGACATCTACCGGTACGCGCGACTCAGGACGATCGCCACAACGCAGAGCAACCTGAGCACGAATGCTCGGCAACTGCCTCCCCCCCCCCGGTGCAAGGAATCAAATGGGGCCCAACCGTAAAAATGTCCCTGCCTCTTCATGGCCTTGTGTGCCTGGGGGTTCTGCTGCTCCCATGGGCCCCCGGTGCAGTTGCACTTCCTGCACACTCGACAGCTGCTGTCAAGGGCACCACGGTGACGAGATGTTAACTCCCTCGCCTGGTACGCAGGAAGTCGTGGGATCAATCCAGACCCTGACGCCTGTTGTATATTTGAAGTTTGCGTGTCTCTCTCCCCGTGGTACCGTGGATTTTTCTCCGGGTCCTCCGGTTTTCCCGTCCACATTTAGAAACGTGGGTTTAGAGTATTTTGGCTGCTATGCGTGTCCACATGATTATAAGCCACTTTTGTTGAGCTATAATTTGTGATAGACAGGTCGCTGCTGAGAAAGAGCTATACAGCTCAGTGGGCCTTACCTGGCAAAATAAAAATCATTTAGTTTTAGTTAGTTTACTCGACTGTCAATGCACATGAACAGGAATAGTAAAATAGTACCTTGTGCAGTAGCTCAATTCAGAGAGGGCCTCAATCCAGTTCCAGTAGTCCTTGTTCGTAAAACTCAACGCGGACTCTGTAAGATGAAAAACAAATTGGATCTTTCTTAAGACACGAATGACAGCTACTGAACGTTATGAGTGTCACTAATACGAAGGGGAAGACTGTCAACGGACAAGACTGGTCGTGGAATGACAGCCTGAAAGGAGCGGACACGATCGTGGATAAGGAACAGTGCTGTGGTTGAGAGACGAGGTGTTAGTTCGCTCGCGCAGAAATCGGTTTGCGGCATCCAGGAGTGAATCTATAAATGGCTCAAAAACTATTTAAGTAGGAAAAGATGGAAATTTTCAATTTGGAATGCTTCGAGTGAGGAGTGCATCGGCCTGCATCATGGGAAGGCACTTCTTGAGTCCTTTCAGTTGGCCATTCATGCACACTCGATGGCACAATGTTGTATCTGTCATGCACTCTTTTTCAGAGAAGGAATTTTACCAAATTAACTGAGAAAATCAACTCACGACACTTGAGAACTCGGTTTAATTACCGGCAGCTATGCATTTGAAACTAGGTTCCATACCTGTCAACCCCTACCTTATTACGGACCAATTCAGACCTTATTGGTCACCCCGTGCCCTTTATAAATCTTAACGTTCATCCTACAAAGTCCCATCACAAGGGAGAAACACAAACAAATAGACGTTTTTGCCCGCATTGAAACGGCCGTACGCCGTATGGACCTGAAAACTAAATTTCCCTGTACAAGAATACGGGGTTAAACCTTATGGGTTGACACCTATAAGACTCTAACCTACGCTGGCTTATTACCCAGACACACAGCATTAGCCACCAACCGATCCGCCTCTCAGCGCTCATCCTTCTCACACATTCGAGAGCACAATTGTATTTTGAATGGACTCAATCCTCTTTTACAAGCACGGAACCGCATGGGGTGCTCCACGCTCACGTTTAAGGCCCTTTCGCAGGATGTGTTCGATGTTCTCACAGAAGGTGGTGAGCCCTGGGGTGGCATCGCTCACTGCTGGTGTGCCCTGCTCCTGCAGGGTCAGCACGCTCCCTAAACACACACGCGCACACAACAACAACAACCGCCATTCGCCACTAAGTGGTAGTGACGTCACCACAGCGCTTGTGCCAGGCTGTGTGCACGTTAAGGCCACGTGAAGCATCGAACGCCTAATAATAGGGGTTTTCCCCATTTTTCTGGCAACAAAACTGCAACCTTTTGACGAGGAATAATGTGTGCATTAACCACAATACGTGTGGTCAAAATTCAAACAAAAACACACACTCTGATAATATGATGCATTGTCCTTGAAACTGATTGGTCCACACCAGAGACGGCTTTCTTTTGGGCCTCGTCTCAACTGGTGCTAGACCAGAGGACGCTTACATTACACGTTGTGACGTCACGCATCGTGCACCCCCACGTGACGGGGTTGTCGCATTGCTCGCCAGACCGTTCACTGAAGCTGCGCTCCCAGTCACAGTGTCTGAAGTGGGGGGGTGGGGGGCAAAGCTGCAATCGAATCTAATAAAACGATTAGCGATCACCTCTCGCCTCTCCTGCAGAAAAAGAAACATTTATTTAATGTATTTTACTAGTTTCCTTTGGTTCTTTCGGTAAGGTCACGTAGAATGAAAGAAGATGAATCCTTGCAGTCACGAAAGCTTTAAATCGAAATTAATTTTACTAGGTAACGACCAACTGAGCTAGCTTCGGAGCTCGTTCTCAGAAGCGATGCTCGCCACAAATCGTCGCTCAACGAAGTGGCTTGTCGCGTGGAAATTGAAGGCTGCCAAATACTCGAAGATGCACGATTCGATATGTGGAGGGAAACACCAGAGGACTCGGAGAAAAATCCACGCGATCACGGGCAGAGAGAGGGACACGCAAAGGGGCCGTCCATAAATGACGTCACGCGATTTTGGACGATTTTTGACCCCCCCCACTCGCCACTCGTCACACGGCGTCAAAAAAAGTCAGACCCCCCCTCTCAAATATGACGTCACAAAGCTCTGCCCCCCCCAAAAATATATATATAAAACATGCTTCAAATCGCTTTAGACTATTGTCATTGTAGTGCGTGCTTAATGTGCCGCTGCACTCTGATGTTGCAGGAGAAAACATTTATTAAAAAGTCTATTTAATTAAGTAGAACGTGTTGTCTATATTTATTTAAAGTTGCGCACTTTCATGTGACGTCACATTTCTCACCCCCCCCCCCCTCGTCACACATCGTCACAAATGTCTGACCCCCCCCCCTCTCTAGGTGCGTGACGTCATTTATGGACGGCCCAAAAACTCCTAATATACAGCAGCAGGTGTCAGGGTCGGGATCGAACCCACGACCTCCTGTATACCAGGCGAGGCAGTTAACATCTCATAGCCATCGTGATGATGAGAGAGAGACACGCAAACTCCAAATATACAGCAGGCGTCAGGGTCGTGATGGAACCCACGACCTCCTGTATACCAGGCGAGGTAGTTAACATCTCATAGCCACCGTGGTGCCCCTATGGGTGTGCAGCAGGGATGAGGCAAGAGTTGGTACTGGGCAGGTGTTGCTCAGCTCGCCCAGGTGTTCAATCTCACACGGACTCGACATCAGAGGTTGTAATTCAACTCGGCTGGCTCACTCCAGCCACCAGCTGCTTCCGTGTACACTCACATAGCTCCCTCTGTACACTCACATAGCTCCCTCTGTACACTCGCATAGCTCCCTCTGTACACTCGCATAGCTCCCTCTGTACACTCACATAGCTCCCTCTGTACACTCACATAGCTCCCTCTGTACACTCACATAGCTCCCTCTGTACACTCACATAGCTCCCTCTGTACACTCACATAGCTCCCTCTGTACACTCACATAGCTCCCTCTGTACACTCACATAGCTCCCTCTGTACACTCGCATAGCTCCCTCTGTACACTCGCATAGCTCCCTCTGTACACTCGCATAGCTCCCTCTGTACACTCGCATAGCTCCCTCTGTACACTCGCATAGCTCCCTCTGTACACTCACATAGCTCCCTCTGTACACTCACATAGCTCCCTCTGTACACTCACATAGCTCCCTCTGTACACTCACATAGCTCCCTCTGTACACTCACATAGCTCCTGCCGCACCAGTCTCAATACATCATTCATACATCCAAGCCACACCACATCCCTCACTCGGCTCCATCCCTCACTTGGCTCCATCTCTCACCCGGCTCCATCTCTCACTCGGCTCCACCCCTCACCCGGCTCCATCTCTCACCCGGCTCCATCTCTCACCCGGCTCCATCTCTCACCCGGCTCCATCTCTCACCCGGCTCCATCTCTCACCCGGCTCCATCTCTCACCCGGCTCCATCTCTCACCCGGCTCCATCTCTCACCCGGCTCCATCTCTCACCCGGCTCCATCTCTCACCCGGCTCCATCTCTCACCCGGCTCCATCTCTCACCCGGCTCCATCTCTCACCCGGCTCCATCTCTCACCCGGCTCCACCTCTCACCCGGCTCCATCTCTCACCCGGCTCCATCTCTCACCCGGCTCCATCTCTCACCCGGCTCCATCTCTCACCCGGCTCCATCTCTCACCCGGCTCCATCTCTCACCCGGCTCCATCCCTCACCCGGCTCCATCCCTCACCCGGCTCCATCTCTCACCCGGCTACGTCCCTCACCTTCAACCCTCACCCCGCGTACACCGCCCCCCTGCCCGGCCCGCGCCTGTTTCCGCGCTCACTCTTCAGCTTCTGCAGCAGCGGCTCCCTCCGGGACATGGCTGCCCAGCGGCTGCCCAGCGGCTGCCCCGCGCCTGCCCCGCGCCTGCCCCGTGCGTGCCCCGTGCGTCCTCTCTCTCCTCTCCTGCGGCGCGAGGAGCAGCAGTCCCCTTGGCTGCGTCTCGGCGTCTCCACGCGCCCACCAAAGACCGCGAGATGCAGGGGGCGGCGGGGGCGACAGAGAGGGGGGGCCGAGGGGATGGGAGGCGACTCGGGGAGAGAGAGACAGCCGACGCGGAGTCCCGGATCGCCGACTACCGGGGTCACGGCACCCCCTGGTGGCCGGGGCCCGCACTGCGGCAGCCGGCAGTCTAAAGCCTCCCCACCCCCCCCCCCGGGGGTTGTGTCGTTAAGCCCGCCACCACCCGACACGGACGATTAGTAAGGGTTGTCACGTAAACAGAACGTGCAGATGTCATGTGGGGTTTTGACCATACTTCACCATGTTGGTGAATGGGGGGGGGGGGGGGGGTGAAATCAGGGTAACCTAGAACAAAATTTTGATTTAAAGCTTTCGTGACTGCAGTAATTCATATTCTTAGCTCTTTCGGTAAAGTCACGTTGAAGGGAAACAATAACATAATAAAATATAGTTCTATTGGAGAGGTCGGAGTATACGTTGAAGGGAAACAATAAAATATATTTTATTGTTTCCCTTCAACGTGACTTTACCGAAAGAGCTAAGAATATGAACCTAGAACTATTTCAGATGCCAATTACCACTGATGTTAGTCGTGGCCAAGAATCAAACTCATGTGGCCTGGTGCTTAGTGCAGCGCGCCACCATCCCACCCCTAAATAAATAATAGAACTATGTATGATGCGTATTAGCAAATCAAACAGTGATGAGACTAATTGTCTCAATATCACGATTTCAAACTCTGGTCGAGGCGAGGCCATTAAAGTGAGGAGCACTTTGTGGGAAGTCAACAGTGATCCTCATGCAGGTGTATTCGTACCTGCCATAGGAATGTGGAATTTCCACCACCAGCAAAGAAGATCAATATTTTGACTTAAGTATTATCCACACACTGTGGATGTAATTCAGTGCATGTTCAATGTGCAGCTTCGATTGCAAGTAAACACTACGGTGCTAAAGCGTTGCCTCTTCTCTGTAACACCCTCGCTGTTTCTGTGGCCACCTCCTGACAACGTAAAGAGAACAGCAAAGGTGCAGTGCCGGATTATCCTCGTAGCACAAGTAGCTACATATGTACTACATATGTACTACATATGTAGTACATATAGTAGCTACGGGCCCCGCACTTTCAAGGGCCCCGCGCTAAATGCTTTCGAGCTATCAATTCCGGTTCAGTGATTCTGCACTTGCTCTTTTACTATAGTACTATACCACCTTTAACTTTTCTGAACGACGACTGGGTGTTTAAGGTTAGCGATTTGTCTTATTATCTGGCTGTATAGCAAATGAAAAAAATTACAATTACTTTACTTTGCAAGTTAGAAATTTGTGTTGTTTATGTTTTGTTTATATTTAGGGCCCCTTTATAACATCATGCTACAGGCACCGCACGTAGCTTGATCTGGCACTGCAAAGGTGCGAGTGTAAAAGAGCTCTACTTGGAAGTAAATCAAGATAGGGAGACTGGCAAGAGCGTGGGAAGATCCTCTCTCTGTGTAAGGATGTTACATGGACAATGGATTTCACATTTCCCGGCACAAAAACCGTTGAAGAGTTTTTTTAGAGAAAAAAAAATGACCTGGTCATACATTACATAGCGCCCGGTGGAAGGGCGAACTATAAATCCGACATAGAACAACTGAATACGCCAGCCACTCACTCGGCGTTGGAGCCATTAAGTCGAGCGAGTAAAATAGTGTTTCACCGAGCGAGAGATGTCTAACAACATTCTGGCAATGGCGTGCGCACTCTGCCGCATTCGCCACGGGGTCTAAAGTGGAGAGGTCGGAGTTTAAGACTCCAGCCACACCCTGGAATGCCACCGCACCCACTGCCGCAGTGCTGAGCGATACAGTATTCATGCATACACACGCGTACACAAATGCCAGATAATTGCATTGAGTCGTGCTGACATTTAAAGGCCCTTCAAGAGACGAGTGACAACGTTCACACCACGAAATAAAACCTTAAACACCGCACCCCTCACAACTGTTCCAGCCTTTGCCACGTCCCCAGGCCCTGCTGCTGTATTGTCACCACAGCCGCGCGTGTGTGTGAGTGAGAGATAAGACGAATTAGCTCTGCTTTGCTTGTTTGGATTAATGTTCGTACAAAAACAATAATCGTGGGGTTCCTTCTCGAGTGTCCTGCGTGGCACGTTCAAAAATGCAATCTCGTACGCAATGAAGAGCAGAAAGTCCACAATACGTAGGTTTTCGCGACCAATATCATCCATAACAGGTGGACTTCTCCACAAATCTGGCTGTCGCCTGATGAAGCTAGTTGTAATTACTGGCGAAACGTCGTACTCAGATTGTAAATGTTGTGGCTTGGCTCTCCAACACACCGGTGTGTTGTACTAGTATACACTACACTATGCACTACACTATACACTACACTATACACTACACTATACACTAGTGCTGTACTAGTATACTACACTATACACTACACTATACACTAGTGCTGTACTAGTATACTACACTATACACTACACTATACACTAGTGCTGTACTAGTGACGAATCGGCACGTTCTGTTTACGTGACAACCCTTAATAGTTGGCTGTGTTGGGTGGTGGCGGGTTTTAACGACACAACATTTATATATTTACGCGATCGAACCTCACAAAAAACCTCTATTATGGAAGTCCATGATAGTTTGGCATGTTGTAAATGTTCACAGTGAGGATGTAATATAAATAAACAACTCATTGTAGCCGCAAGTCAGGTGGATAAGCAGCAAGCCATGAGGCGTCACGTGCCATTGTGGACAGGAAAGTTCACAGACGTTTACTTGCACTGTGTTCACGGGGAGCGGCAAATGTCTCCATTCTGCTTCTCCTGCTGTAACCCAAAGATCATCATCCCACCTGCATTGATTGCCTCCGTCGTTCGCCAACGTTCTTCACCATTTGCTTCATCTCTCCCCGTTACTCATCCCGTTGTCACCTATATTACGTATACCTTGTCGTCTAGATAAACAGGTTGTGTCTACCGCCAAAACGTTGATGGCACGTGGGGCGTTGTGACATCACAACACCCTACAAAGTGTCTCGTAAGATGTAGTACTTTATGTGTAACGTTAATGTTCTGTAAATAAACGTGTTAACGGCATATACAGCGTGACACAACGGAACACAGACAACCAGGCAAAGAAAGTGTAGTAATACGTAACATATTACTTTAATGAAACGTTTTATGCCACATATCCGATAGCCATAACAACTGGCGTTTTGAGTTGTGGCCATGGCAGCGCGTTGCAAATTTCAACTTTTGCCAATTAGAGTTGGCCGTGAATTTAGGCCACGTCCTGAATTCTCTGGGCCTAATTGTACATCATTGGGCTGCCATGAATTCCAGACATCAGCATTCAGGCCGAGAGAACCCTATGTCACCAGGCATACCAATGAAATATGTCTAGATATTAAAAGTAACGTTTCATATTTAATTATATCAGCAACACGGATTATCCTAGTAGCAAAAGTAACTACATATGCTACGGGCCCCGCACTTTCAAGGGCGGCCGCGCTAAATGCTTTCAAGCTATCAATTCCGGTTCAGTGATTCTGCACTTGCTCTATTACTATAGTACTATACTGCCTAGATTTGAAGTTGTCGTCACTGCAGGGAATCCATACTCTTTGGTTCTTTCGGTAAAGTCACGTAGGTATGAAATAAATTAAATCACGACGTTTCTGGCGCAACACAAGCGTCCGTCATCAGGTGGAACAACCACAGCAAGAAACAACTGCTGAAGTGGGTAGAAGGAGGCTATATAGGTAAGAGGGGGGGGAGGAGGGAGGGAAGTGCTGCCGGATGAAGAGCAGCTAGAAAAGAAGAGAGGCGGGAGTCCTCCTACCCACTTCAGCAAATTGTTTATTGCTGTGGTTGTTCCACCTGATGACGGACGCTTGTGTTTCGCCCGAAGCGTCGTGATTTAATGTAATTTATTTTATACCTACGTGACTCTCCCGAAAGAACCAAAGAGTATGCTACACTGCCTTCAATTTTTGTGAACTGTGCAAGTTAAAAATGTATGTGTTTTAATATTTGTGTGTTTTTTTAATATTTAGGGCCCCTTTATAACATGCTGCAGGCCCCGTAACTAGCTTCATCCTGCACTGCTTTTACTCGCAGATATATTTTGAACTGAACTTTTTTGCTCCCCAGATTAGGCCCACTACGCTATATAGCTCTTTTTCAGATGCGACCTGGCCATTAATGATAGCCCAATGAAGTGGCTTATCACGTGGACATTTATAGCAGCTAAATACTCTAAACGCATGTTTCTAAATGTGGAGGGGAAACGTGGGAGGGCTTGGAGAATAATCCACACGACTACGGAGAGAAGGTGCAAACTGCAAATATACGGGCGTCAGGGGTGGAGTTTGAACCCACGACCTCCTGTATACCAGGCGAGGTAATTAATATCTCGCCACTGCATATATGAAGGTGTGGCGGGAATCGTGCGCGCTTGCATATCGCTGTGTGCCGATTCATTTCTCGTAGCACGGTGGATAAACCTCTCCGTCCGCAGTTCTGTTCCTAGTTTATTTTAAATACCTGTATACAGCAGGCGTCAGGGTCGGGATCAAACCCACGACCTCCTGTATACCATGCGAGGTAGTTAACATCTCCTAGCCACCGTGGCGCTTGACTGGGAAGTACATCTGGGAAGACCTGCCCATCTTACATTGTAACTCCAGCAACCGAACAAATCACGAAAACATCACACCTTGTGTTTTGGGAAACTCAAATTCTGGGAAAAATCGAGGCAGCTCGGTCCAAATAGTGTTGGCTGTACCATGCAAACAACGTGACAGTCAAGCGTGTAAAGTAACATTTATAGAAGAATGTCACACGTTGGATATCCCCGCCCCCCATGGTGCAGTGATATTGACAAATGTATTGCGGGTTCTTCTTATTTGTGTTTTGTGCATCACTATAACAAAAAAAGCATTTATTGTTGCCAAATTCTGCAGTTCGAAATAGGGTATAAAATCACTCGGAAAGCATCGTGTTATTTTGAAAACGTTTATTTGTTTTTTGCTTTACAACTTAAAAAATATTTCAAGCTTTTATTTTGCAAATTGTAAAATGATTTTTTAAAGCATTAATACAGTAGTACCTTACCTTTAGGAATGCACAATATTTCAGAAATGTAATTTTAAACATAAAAAACCGTTATGTATTACAGTAAAAAACATGCCAGTTTGCAGTAACACCAGTAAGTTTAACACAAATATAACACGATCGAAAGCAAGTGCATTTTGGGTAAAACAAGAATCGTGAGGACTTGACCAGCCCAATGAAAACTTTGACTTTTTGCCAGTCTTTTTTTACTTCTACTACTACTACCATACTACTCCAGTAAATGACATCCACTGCTGCCCTGTGAGCCATAGGAGAACAAAAAAATACACCACCATTGTACCTTATGAGATGCTCTTGTATATATATAAAAAAGCATGGAACTGCAGCCCCTTGCTATGTGTCACAGCCAACGCGTCGAAGGACAGGCGCCCTAGGAGCACAGCTAATATCAACTACAGAAAAAAACTGCGTTGCAGTGAACCACAAAACGGAATAGCAGTACTGTAATGGACATCTCAACATACAATAACACACAGGTAAAGGTGCGGCCCTGCGATTATCGGCTCACGCACCACTGCTGGTTGAAGGGCTTCCACTATAAGAAGGTTGAGAGGCCCTCTCGATGGTATTTTGGCCTAGTCTTCCAATGCTGGCCAGACGTCTTGCAAGAGGTGGGCGTACCCACACTTTGTTTGTCCACGTGACCTGCCCATCGACTGTGGCGTCACTCGTTTATACTGCTCGATGGACAGAGCCGAGGGGGATTTAAGAGACTCGCATCATTGTTTCACCTGCCACGCCAGGAGATCGAACCGGCAAAGCCCCCCGATTGCAAATCGAGTGTGATAACCATGATACCACGGTAGCATTCTGGCTTACAATAATACGATGCGCTATCAGCACTTGGTGCCAATAACATACATAATACTTGCAGTGTACTTTATTTCCATTACACTTTGGATTTCCTTGCCCTTGATGTGAAAACGCAGATAATAACCCACAGCACTTGGACGAAAATTCCACAGCACTCATTGGTCAAGGCCTCATCTTGTGACCGAGATACAGGATTCAAAGCGTGTCCTCGTTTAGGCCCAAGCAACCGTCGCCACCCTCGAATTTAACAAAATATGGACAGAGATCGCGTACAACAGTAGGCGTGCTTCAGTCGTATATCGAACATTGGCGCTTAGAGAAATCACACAAAGTTGTTTGGGAGCCCCAGAGGGGTGCTGAGGAGGATCCACCCTAAACGTGCTGGATATGGGTGGAAACTGTAGCCTAAACAGCTCGTCTTGTTTCACAATAAAGAAAAAAGATATATCATCCACACGCCACAACTACGGAACATCCGTGCAGGGCGCGTCATGTTCAGGCGGGTGTCTTGTAATGAAACCCTGACTGTTGCTGGAAAGCGAAGCGGCAACACGAACTCGTGATATTTTTTGTTGCTTATATCTGAGTTAAAAGCCATCAGCTTAATTTTACCCGATACAGAAAAGGTCCATGTCATTATTATCAGGCGAAAGTGAACAAATTGCTGACGGGGTTGTTTTTGTTGCTAAATTTGTACAGTTCCTTAACATTTTTACATCACTAAACGACGACTTGTGTATATCAGGGCTTTTGTGTCCTTGCGTTGAAGTGAATGGAATCTATGCATCCTGCCAAACTATTACTCCAAGGCAACGTTTATCATCAACATCATGAATTATTCCCCATTATTCATTAAAGAATGTAAAGCAAAGAGCTTCACGGAGGGGCCTAACATTGACGGTGCTGGGATCGATGATGGTGAATGCCGTTTGACTATTGCAAGAGGGAAGAAACGACTCTACAGTCTGCAGGAATAAAACAACAAAAATCACGACGTTTCGGCCACAACACAAGCGGCCTTCATCAGGTGAAGGGACCAGCCTGTCTCGAAGACTGCGCTGGAGTGAAACAGAGCCAAGCTCAGACAGCTTAAAGGTTGCGATCTGACCTTGGCTCTGTGTCACTCCAGCGCAGTCTTCGAGACAGGCTGGTCCCTTCACCTGATGAAGGCTGCTTGTGTTGTGGCCGAAACGTCGTGATTTTTGTTGTTTTATTTTTTACCTACGTGACTTCACCGAATAGAACCCAAGAGTATGGAGTCTGCAGGAATTCGTGGCCACGACCACGCATCGTGTTTACAAATGAGGAATGTGATGCTCTGTAGAATAAGAGATAAACAAGAGTAAGGACTGGCACAGGGCGTGACATTGTGATAATTCCTCACAAAAACAGCATTTCGACACGGTCTACGTGGGCGAGTATCCCAACACCTCACAAACAAAATATCTGAGGCAAGATCTTTTGGTTCAAGAGTGCAGTACACGATGATCGGCAGAGGTTTGTGTTATTGTCTTGATGTTAAATGCTGTTAACTTACAAACCGAGCCATTATCATCTCGATGCCAATGGGGCATTTTGTAACTGTACAATTACTGAGGCACGTGCTCACGTTGTTCAACAAACTCGCGCGGTTAACAAATGTAGTTTGTAAACAACTTGACCAGGTCTCTTTCCTGCGTGAGTAAACAGGCTCGTGACATCTACCCATGCCGTTCACAGTGTTGATTTCTCAAGGACAGCCATGAGCCACACCAAGCCCCATTCGGAAATAGTGACCCAATGGGGTGTCAGTATTTATTTGCAAATTGTACAAGTATTAAGAGTATAAAGCTTTCGTACCATTATGTACGCTTCTTAAGCTCTTGAAGCAACACACATTGTTCCAAGAATATTATATATATAGAAATGTATTATTGATTTCTGGACCTTATTATGAGTGCTATGCATCTTCCACAATGTTCGTTTGGCACGAAACTTACCTTAAAAAGTAAAAACTTGGTGAATAACGAAGCCATTTCATAATGAGCGTTCTTCCCAAGGGCACTAAAGGTTTGTAAAATATTAAATTAGGTCTCACAGGCAAGGCGCACCATGCGAACCTATGAAATGTTATCTTGTTCTCACGGATAAAGGAATGAAAATGCTGCGGAAATATCCCCGCGCCCTGTCGGGCCCTGTCCTGCGTCCGCCTTTCATGTGCACGCTGCTGTCGCACACAGGGGCCCTGTCAGCCCACGACGACCACCGCTCACGTAAAGTGCACACAAGCCTACGAGAAGCACAGCCAAGCGAACCTCGAGTGTAAGCCCCCAGACAGCTACTGTAGAACTTGCATTTTGTAACGTCCATGGAAAACAAGGCACCGTTAGTAAGACTCGATTATTCGTTCGCTAAAATTCCAGAAATGTTATATTTACTTAAAAAGAGCACGATAAAATAACGTAACAACCCCAACAAAAAACGGAACAAAACAAGCAAATACAAAATAAAATATAAGAACTTGTCCGAGTCGAAAACCCGCATGCATGAAATAATAACCACCGCTGTACTGCATTCGCATCATTATCAACAATTACCGCGCACTGGAAACAAGAGGACTTGACATTTTGACATCTGAAAAATATCAAACACCAACACGGAGGCACAAAGATACACACGGACCGACGCTGCTATTCAATTATTGTAGATGCAAGCTCATTTTAACCAGTGCTGGCGTGCATGAATGAGGAAGGGATGCACGGGTGCGTGTGAGTGTGCGTGTGTGCGTCGGGAGTTCAGGGGTCGTAAGTGCTCGCCCCCTAGAACCTCATATCTCCCTGCTTGGACACGGTGCCCGAGTCCATTTTGGTTGTCTTGGTGACGGTGGTGACCTTCTTGGTGATGATGCCTGTCTGACCCACCATCTGCGTGACACCTGCGGCCAGGAACAGAGAAGAGAAGTCATTACGTGCTACACCACAAGCAAGTGCTCGCCACAAATGAAACACCACGCCTTGCCGATCTCGTCAAGGAGCGGAAAACCGTCAAGCGAACTCCGCTCGTCCTCCCAGCGGCGGCGGCTTGTGGCTGACCATCGAGCAAAGACGGCGGTCACAGCATCGCGCGGCGCTTTCAGACGCGCTTCTGCGGCCGTCTGGAACGCTCTTCCTTCCGATATTAGGAAGCCACTGGCGCGATGCACTTTTAAATCATCATCTAGATTGACAAACTCATTTCTTTAGACCTGCTTTCTGTGTTTAGTTTGTTGTCCTTGCCCGCACACTTTCTATTATCACGGTTGGCTACGTACGGTGTGAAAGAAGTTCAACATGCGTACGTACGTGCGTTTGCTTGGTGCTTCATGTTTATTTCAACAATTGACCCAGGCATCTGAGTGGTAGCTCCAACCTCCCATATTTCACAATTTTACCATCACTGCCACCCACCTCCTCTCGCTGTCAGCTGTTGTGCGATATTGTATAAATCAGCAATGTGTATGTTGTATTAAGGGTGTTGGCTATGTGTGTTGTGTTGTATGTATTGGTCGGTCGTGTTGTTTGTTGTCAGCTACGTGTGTTATAGTTTAGCTTGGCTGTGTCTGCCGCATCGTCAGTGTTAGCCATGTGTATGTTACTCTGTGTGGGTTGGCTGTGTGTGTTGTATCGTCAATGTTTGCCATGTGTATGTTACTCTGTGTGGGTTGGCTGTGTGTGTTGTATCGTCAGTGTTAGCCATGTGTATGTTACACTGTGTGGGTTGGCAGTGTGTTGTATCGTCAGTGTTAGCCATGTGTATGTTACTCTGTGTGTGTTGTATCGTCAATGTTAGCCATGTGTATGTTACTCTGTGTGGGTTGGCTGTGTGTTGTATCGTCAGTGTTGGCCATGTGTATGTTACTCTGTGTGGGTTGGCTGTGTGTTGTATCGTCAATGTTGGCCATGTGTATGTTAAACTGTGTGTGTTGGCTGTGTGTTGTATCGTCAATGTTAGCCATGTGTATGTTACACTGTGTGGGTTGGCTGTGTGTTGTATCGTCAATATTGGCCATGTGTATGTTACACTGTGTGTGTTGGCTGTGTGTTGTATCGTCAGTGTTAGCCATGTGTATGTTACCCTGTGTGGGTTGGCAGTGTGTGTTGTATCGTCAATGTTGGCCATGTGTATGTTACACTGTGTGTGTTGGCTGTGTGTGTTGTATCGTCAATGTTAGCCATGTGTATGTTGCACTGTGTGGGTTGGCAGTGTGTGTTGTATCGTCAGTGTTAGCCATGTGTATGTTACACTGTGTGGGTTGGCTGTGTGTTGTATCGTCAATGTTAGCCATGTGTATGTTACACTGTGTGTGTTGGCTGTGTGTTGTATCGTCAATGTTAGCCATGTGTATGTTACACTGTGTGTGTTGTATCGTCAATGTTAGCCATGTGTATGTTACACTGTGTGTGTTGGCTGTGTGTTGTATCGTCAGTGTTGGCCATGTGTATGTTACTCTGTGTGGGTTGGCTGTGTGTGTTGTATCGTCAATGTTAGCCATGTGTATGTTACACTGTGTGTTGGCTGTGTGTTGTATCGCCAATGTTAGCCATGTGTATGTTACACTGTGTGGTTTTGGCCATGTGAGGAGTAGGGGTGGAGTGGTTAGCGCGCTGCGCTACGAACCCGGCGACCCGACTTCGATTCCTGCTCATGGTCAACACCAGTTACAACTATCTGAACCGGTCCTGGGCCTCTCCTAGGTCGACTCAGCCTTACAACGAGTACCAGACGCGGTGTGAAAACATCGCGACGAGGGAGACAAAGGTGGCCGGGCGTGTTGCTAGCCATCAACACCCTAGTGTGCTGTGTTGGCCTTCATAGGTTGTCGCTAACAGCACTTGCCCCAAAAGATTGTCGAGGCTATATGGGGGATCTTTGTTGACTGTCTACATGATGAAGCATGTGGTTTGGCTACGTGTGTTGTGCTGTATTGTGGGTAAACTAAATGTGTGCCCCAAGTTCAGTCTGATCCGCTATAACACCGCGCGTTGTTCTCATGTTGCGAATTGGATACAACGCGATTGAGTTAACGGAACTACGTAGCGCGAGTAGGAATAAGCGGTCGTGCGGCTGCCTCGGCGTAGCATCACACAAGGCGGGATGCTGCTGGATGCTTCTCGATGCTCCCCACGCACCTCAGTCTTTGTTCAGCCTGAGTATGCATCGCAAGTGTTATTGCAGACCGTGCTTTACCCCTATACAACACATGACTTATTATAACGGCGAATTTTCCATAAAGTGGTGCTCTTCAGGAGCGCAACTACCACCGTTACATGCGAACAGACTGCACTGGTCAGTGCCGCGTGCACCTCGTACCCATGAGTCCTGGCATCATCTCCCCAGGGAAGTCGAACACCTCGCTCTGCATGCTGCTGGACTGGGACACAAATTGCTGGGAGGAAGACGGGTGCATCATCACGTCCATCCCGCCGGAGAAGTCCTGCTGGAAACCTGAACACACGAGAGAACGCGTGACTCCCCACCGGTCGCGAGAGTGAAGAAGCAAGCACGCTAATGATTCTGCTCTCTGACACTTCTTTACTCACTACTGTGGGGGTCTGCCTTCCTGGTTCTTATTTCACCACTCATTCATGTCCTGGTCCGTCTCCGCGTCCACTCCACAGTCCTTCACATTCCGGTCTACCACTTTTGAACCTCCTCTTTCTCGACTTGCCCTCTCAGTCTTCACCCCGGTGCTTCCAAATAGTTAATCGCAATACTTCCGTTGCGGTCATCCTCACTTCTTACAACGTGTCCCCCCCCCCCCAACCATCCGAGTTGATATTTTTTCAGTTTGTCTTAGATGGGCAGTACTACTCTGGCCTTCATTTCTGACCTTATAAAGTCTTGTAATCCCACGCAGATTCACCTCGCCGTCCTCATGTACAACATCTCTCTGTTCCTCCCTGGTTTTTAGCAACTGAAGTACTGCGCAAGCTTTAACAAAGGCTTGACATGTAAGTGGAAATGCTTTACATCTGTCGAATTTCTTTAAATTGCCCAAACTTAACACGTGAAACAAAGAATGTGAATATTGCGTAAAGTGAGGAAGAGATTTGCATGCAATCCAGGACACACACAAAGGTGGCAACAATGCTTGCTAAACCACCGGCAAAATTTCAGAGCCAGAGGGCAGTGTTTAGAACCTGGGTCTTGATTTGGGTTTCAGTCACCCGCGATTAAACCAGGTTCTTGAGTTTTAAGTGCATTGATTGTCTTAACCCAGTCGCTAACGACTGCACAGGATCCCCATGATGTTAAGGTTAGTTTTTTTCACTTTCACTAAATTCCGGTTTTGAGAATTGAAGGAATAAGAAAGTTCAGCGCCACCTCGTGTGTAGATACAAAGGGAACATGTAACTCAAAGGGATTTCGGAGGCAGTTCTGTGATATCTCCTTCTCCGGGCCATTCTCTTACACGGTGTGGTGCAGTGTTCTAGGAGAATTCCGAATGGACGCTTTGCTTTGTCACGTGATACTGACAGCAATATTGAAATAAAAATTGAGAAAAAGGCAACTTTAAAGATGCTGTTACAAAAAAAAAAAATATAATTTTCTGAATGAGATTATTATTTGGAAAACAACTGTGTAGTAGACAACACGCATGTACATACTCATGCTTGCTATCGCGTATGTGCATGCATGTGAGTGTGCAACGTGAACCAGCGAGCGTGCAACGTGAGTGAGCGTGCGTGCAAGCGAGTGTGTTTTGCGCGAGTGGGCTGCCGAGCAGTACCATTCTGAGACTCGATGGTGATGATGCCCTCTCTCTCGGGCCCGTAGCCCTGGCTGGTCTTGGTCTTCACTTTGAACTTGTAGGGCACGTTCTCCAGGAGGTCATTCACCACCAGGCTCGTCTCATCCTGGTCGTCGATGGTGAAGATGCGTGGCTCGCCCACGCTGCCCGCTGATAACATAAATACACAGATAAAGATCCCCCGTGTATCGTACATAGGCTGTTTTGAGCGAGCGCGTTTCATCAGCGCCTATGAAGGGCAACACGGTGCACCAGGGGGTGCTGTGGCCAGCACAATGCCTGGATGCACATTGTTTTTCCTCCCCAGTGTCGATGTTTACACACCGCACCAAGTACTCAATTAAGGCTGAGTCAACCTCGGGGAGAACCAGGACCGGTTGAGATAATTCGCCACGGGTGTTGGCCGTGAGAGAGCTCACAAGCGCACAAACGCGCACACCGAGCGACAGGTGCTCAGACGAGGAGTGTGCAGCAGCTCCCTGAAATAGAAAGGCGACACTGAGTCTCAGCAACCTCCCTCAGGACGGTGCTGCGTTGGAGATGCAGCCCGGAGATGGATGAAATCAGCAGCTCAAGGGGACAGACGCTACGTGGATTTTACATCGGAAGGCCGGGAGAGGCGGTGAAGCCTTAATTCAAGCGGCGGACGGACGACGACGAGGGCGACGCCGGCGAACGCGAACGACGGTGCCGGGCGTACGTGAATGCAAAGCGCGCGGATGCGGCGCCGGAAATGAACGGCGAGCGTTCGGGGCTTCACCGACCGATGGGGTGGACGGGCTCGCATGACACCACGTAGCCCTGGATGGGGCCCTGGGGCTTCATCGGCTTCTCCCACTTGAGCTGCAGCGAGGACGGAGTGAGCGCCGTGAACACCAGCGGGCCCGGCGCGTTTGGCGTGCTCAGAGTGAACGGTGAGCCTGCACGCACGCACGCACGTGGTGAACGTGCAAAACGTTTTTGCTTATCATTTTATTTCCACCTCCCCCCCCCCCCTCCCAATTTTTTTTTTATCGGCGTTGTGTCGTGAGATGTTTGTGTGTTTTTAAGTTTATTTCGATTTTTCTGGGCAGATGATGGTCCCGTTTAGCCGGCTGCCCGGCTACTTTACAACGGCACTGCCGTGGTGAGTTAGCACGGCACTGCCGTGGTGCGTCGTACTGCCGTGGTGCGTGGAACTGCCGTGGTGAGTTAACACGGCACTGCCGTGGTGCGTTAGCACTGCAGTAGCAATAACAACACAAACACAAAAACGTCAGTATACTGTATATTGCACAATTAACAGACGCGGTATTTAACGGTCATGAATTAAGCACAAAGAAAAAAAACCGTGCAAATATAATGAGAGCAAGAAGTGCCAGGAAAGTTAGGTACTTGGTACAAGTAAACTCTGCGTTTTAGTTTAACAGTGACATATGAACATATGCGAATTGAAAGAGGACATTGCAAACATGTCAGAGTGAGAAGGTACCTTTACACAGGTGAGCTCACCTGTCAGGTGAACTAACCCGTGAGGTGAGTCGATACGTGAGGCCGGCCTACCTGGAATGGGGATGTGCGGGCTGGCCGGGTTGACCTGCGACTCGATGGTGATGACGCCCTCGCGCTCCGGGCCCCAGCCCTTGTCGCTGCACGCCATCACCTTGAAGAGGTACGCCTCGTTGGGCAGCAGCTGGTCCACCGTGACGGTCACCTGGTTGGGATCGGCGATCTCCACGTTCCGCGGGGAGCCTGCAGGGGAGTCCACGGGGCAGCCACGTGTACAATACATTAGGAATTTTACTTTTTAGCTTTATTTTACCAGGTGACGCCCCACTGAGCTATATACGGCTCTTTTTCAGAAGCGACCTGGCCATCACAAATGAAAGCCCAATGAAGTGGCTTATCGCGTGCAAATTGATTGCAGCACGTCGATTCTAAATGTGGGCGGGGAAATCCACACGGTCACGGGGAGTACATGAAAATGCCAAATATACAGCAGGCGTTCAGGGTCTGGACCGGCTCAAAATACCAATGTTTTTTTAATAAATGTGGCCGGCCGTTTTGTCTCTGAGCCACGTCTATAATTGATGATGATGATGATGTCCGAACACCCACGACGCTAACGGTGGGGACACCCTTGCCGTTAGTCTGCCTCAATCGTGGAACTGCTCTTGTACTAGGTTATATACGTACGTATGTATGTTGAGCTTCTTTCGCACCGTACATAACCAACCGCGTCAATCGGAAGTGCGGGGAAAAAGAACAACAAACTAAGCACACAAAAAATCAGCTCTATGAGTTTTGAATCTCGACTTGAAAGTGCAGAGCTCCCAGTGAGGTTCCTTAAAACGACACGGCTGTCGCCGACCGCCGTAGTGAGCTTGCAGAGAGGGTGGTGTCGCCGGTGCGGGTGTCCACCTCCAGAGAGGGGCTGGTACGTCACGCGGTAGCCCATCACTTGGGTGTCGCTCTGCGGCTTTTGCCAGTTGACGCGGAGGGACGTGGGGCCGGTGGCCGAGAAGACGAGGCGGCCGGGAGCCTCGGGGATTCCGGGCGTGCCGAGAATGGCGGGGCTGCGGGGAGAGGCTGCGACGGCAGCGCCGGGAAGAAAGAGGAACACACAAAAGATAAGATCCCCCGTCTAGCCTTAACAGACTGTTGGGGCAAGTGCTGTTAGTGAGCACCTATGAAAGGCCGGCACGGCACACGAGGGGGTGGTTGGCGAGCACCACTCCCGGCCACCTTCGCCTCCCAGTAGCGACGTTGATGTGCCCTCGAAAGAATGTTCGCTGCATGTCAGTCGAACCAAAAAGCTTCATTCTCACAGGTGGACTAAACCAAATTAAGTGCCAAATCAAATGTGACACGATGCTCTGTGCAGCCATTGGTGACCAGGATCAGACCATCAAATCACGGCAACTTGAGAACCCAATTTAGTCGCAGGTGGTTGAAATGCAGATTTGGTCCCAGAATCTCATCGGTAGTGACTCAAGTGTCTCTGAACCCTGGGGCCACCTGTCCACCCCATGCACTGGAGCTTTACACACGGACACAAGGCTTTAGAAGCATTGTCTCACGTTGTGCTCAATCCAATGTGATACACATTACTTATCACCAAGTCCACACAAGATCCCCATACCGTCGTGTTCACAGTCGCGCATTGATTGGTGGTGACCTTTGTGATAAAATAAAGATCCTGCGATTGTGCAATTAGCAATGTCAGCACAGCAATACATTACAACTCTTCACCTAAACGGCCCATTAGATTATTATGAGCACCGCATGTGCCACGAGAGGCCTCGCGTGTTGATTAACTCGCGTAACGAACTTGAGGTTTTACATCAGAATTGGTTGGCATCTAAAGAAGACCCCATTTGGCAAGAGTTTAGAGTCTTAAACGTGTCCGTCAACTAGGTGCGGAATGATGCATCGATTCATTGATGAATTCCCGGTGTTTAAGATTAATCTATGAATATTCATTTTTAAGATACATGCACTGAATTTCACGTGTAAAAATTTGTGCTGTGCAATTCCGGTAAGCAGATTGTGACGCAGGTTAACACCGCCCTTGCAGCCGCAGTGTGACAAAATAATCAAACGATAGCGACAATTCATTGTATCGCTGGGGGCGATTAATCATTCCACACTGACATTTAAGAACCCAGCCATTAAGTATAGAATTAATGAATGAATTAGTTTAAAAGCAATGAATTTTATATTATGAAAAAACAAGCAGAAGCAGAACTGTTTAACACGTAGGCTTTCACGACCAATATCCAATATCATCCATAATACAGGTTTTTTTGGGGTTAGACTACTAATTGGCGGTGTCGGGTGGTGCCAGGTTTAATGACACATTTATATTTACGCGATCTAACCCAAAAAACAACCTGTATTATAGTTAATAGAGTTAGTCACGCTCATTATGCTTCTCAACTGACTCATGGAATTGTTATTATCGCTACGTTGCGCAAAAGCATGTTAGCAAAAATGAAGACGGTCATCGGACAAAAAAGAAATCATTCGCAAGGGCGGTGCTGATTTGCGAAGCGAACAAAAGTGGAGTCCTGCAATGCAAAAGCGCGGTGAGCTAAAGCCGTCAGAGGACGATGTTGGGTCTCGCTCCACCATGACAAAGCCACCAAAGCCCTCGCTCATCCGGGCTGAAAGGCAAAGTGTGATCGTCGTCATTCCGCCAGCACCGCACGCGAACAGCGTCCCCCTCACCCCTGTCAAAATCATCGTACGGCTTGGTCACGCAGCAGCGAAGCGTAACTCGGGGAAAGGGGAAGGAGGGGGTTGGTTGGTGGGACGGGGACAGAGGACGTACGCTGCAGGGCTAAGTCCAGCTGGTGCAGCACCTCCTGCGCCTCCTCCGACTGTGTGCGGTTGCGCGAGCCGGCCATCGAGACGCCGGCCCCGTGGCCTGCCGGGGTGCAAACGCAAAGCACGTTGAGCCGCCCGTGCCCTTCGCGACCTCCGAGGCGCCGCGTTGACCTTCGCAAACGCCGCCGCAAAGCTCGCTCGGAGTGGAGGAGGTGGGGGGCAGGGGGTCGATTAACGGGAGCTCCGTGTGGGGTGGGGCGGGGGGGGGGGGTGGGGGGACGGACGGACGTTGTGCGCTTCTAGGGGGCATCGTGTGAGGGCGCGCGAGCGCCTGGGAGGTGAGACCGTCGAGAGGGACATGAAAGTCTGGCACTCACTTCCCCCAGGCGTCCGTGCTGTTGACTACCCGCCCCTCTTTGAAGGCCACCCTCAACAATCTCCCTATTCTCCTCTGCCCATCACTGACTGCCTCTGCAGCACCTAGATATGGATTCGGATGTATGATATATATTTAATATATAATATTTAATATATAATATTTAATATATTATATTTAATATATTATACATCTGAATCTACATTTTATTGTGCCGCACAACGCGACCATCGGGAATTTGGCCAGACAGTCCAATGCAGGGGCCTCCTGAATAATAGACTTGAGACTTTTCTCCGTGCGTAAAGGGAATGACTCTTATTGGGGGAGCGGTGGCACAGTAGTTAGCGCACTGTGTGATGAAGCCGGCAACCTAAGTTCGATTCCCAGCTCAGCGATGAGTGATATCTGAACCGATCCTGCTTCCACCACCCACCACACCACTCAGCCCTCACCAATGCGTACTGATGGTGAAGTATAGTCAAACGACCCCCACGACGTGGCGAGGCCTTCAACGGGTTACCTCTCTATACTACCTTCATACATGCTTTGCATTACCCCTGTCGTTACCCCAGTTGACCGTACACCATCGACAATTTGGACAATCGGTAAAAAATTTCATTCACACGGGCAGATTTCTGATTTGGGAAGCAAATGCAAGAATCACTTTTGCAATCGTATTCCACCACCCCTTGATTTTCATTCAAACGCGTTTCAGTTGTGGATTCCCCGGCAAAATCGGTCAAAATCCAGCGATTGGGCCCCCGATTGGTCGGCACAATTTGGCCCGGCGGTGCTGTGGCGGGGCGACTACTCGTCTGCTGCAGGCTGTGGTAGGACACCGCTGACTCGTGCAGCACAGTGGACACTTGGCTAGCCGATGTCTCCATGACGACGCTCCCTAGCTCCCGTGCGTCCAGCTCGTCGTAGCTCGAGGCTCCGCGCTGGCTCCAAGCGCCGGCCGAGTAATCTGGCCGAGCCGCATTCGCCGTTCGGTCAAAACAGGATTATTTATGCTCCCGCAAGAGACTCCCATCGTGCACTGTTTATGGACCCACACGTCGGTTCATTCACAGACCATGGGAATGTCATACGGTGTTCCCTCATTATTCGCGAACTTGCTTTCCGCGATTTTGGCTATCCACGAAGAGCATCTGGAACGCTACACGACTGCATTTATAAAAAAGTATTTTTAACTGATTAAATATTTGTTATTTATTAAATGTATGTGCATTTTTACTTTTTTTATGTTATTATGAAAATTTTCATGTATTTAATAGCTTATTAACATATTTATTGAAGGTAATTCGTTACAAATATTTTCATAGGCCAATATCATTATCCACAAAATTAACTATTCACGAGCATCTCCAGAACGGACCCCTTTCGAATAACGAGGGAACACTGTACACAGGCTGACCACAAAGCTATCATCCGTCAATAAAGAGTTATTATCAAACAGCAGGCCGAGCGGTGAGGTGGATAAAACGATACATCCATTGCATGGGCTGGGCGGTGTGAAGAGTCCACCGTTTTATCACACGGTTTTTCACCCCTCTAAACCTCCACACGTCAATCGCGGATGACTCGGTGACGTGCGACTGCGTCGCACTCGAGAAACAACGAGGTTGCAGCGGCGTTCAACGTCGAGTGTCGCACAACACTCGAAGAATGAGAATAAGGTTGCGTGCAATCAAGGAAGCAGCACCGTTTCGTTTCTGCTCAACCGCTCTGGCCGTCCTGGCCCCTCCCAATAGAGGAGGGGCCCAAGCCCACTCAAAGGTTTTTGGGGAGGCCTGGAAGCAAAATGTCAGATGGGACCCCCCCCACCCCCACCCGAAGGCTTCTTTAGGCCTCTCTAAGGCTCCCACAGACATGAGGCCTGGGATTAATGCCCAACCTGCGAGCCCCCCACCCTGAGGCCCGGAGGAAGGCCAGCGTTAGGCACCGTGGAGGTTTGCCGCCCGCCTTGTCCGCTGTGCGTGGCGGATCGTCCTCTGTTTGAGGCAGCTGTTGTTCCTAGAGATCTTCCCGGGGACATTAAATTTGCCTGGTTTTTCTGTCAGCTGTGGAACAGCAACATAATCACTCAAAGACAACGACTGTTACACGTGTGAGTCTCCCCTCGTCCAGCGCGGTAAACATATCCCTCTTCTTTTCACGACAACGTCCCGAAACTTTGTGCCCCTCTGTGAAATCCGAGCGCGTCGCTCGCCCGCTCGCCCGCCCGCCCGCCCCGACTCACCCCAGCCGTAGGCGTCGCCGAGCGTTGAGGAGCCACCGTGCGTGCTCCGCGTGAGCGTGTGCATGTGCTGCGAGCCGCCCGACATGCCCGGCAGCTCCAGCGTGCCCAGCATGGTCTGGTGGTGGTGGCTCTGGTGGATCGTCGTGCTCGTGGTCATCGAACTGCCGCCTGTTGGAGGCGGAACGCGAGACGAGTTTGGGCGACGTCGCCGGCCACGCCTCCGTGAAGGGGTCGGGGAGAGACACGGCGGTGGTCCCGTGGCACAGAGGTCAGAGCACCTGGGTTCAAATCCCAATTGTGCCGTCGGCATTGTGTCAAGAGATGGTGGTTGGCGCGCTGCATGACCGAAAATTCGGCGACCCGAGTTCGATTCCCGCGCACGGCCAACACCGGCGACGGTTATCTGAACCGGTCCTGGGCTTCCCCGACCTCGACTCAGCCTCAAATTAGTACCCGGTGCGGTGTGTAGTAAACACGGCACTAAGGAGACAAAGGTGACCAGGCGTGGTGCCGGCCTTCATAGTAGGCGCTCGCTAACAGCACTTGCCCCAACGGTCTGTTAAGGCTACACGGGGGATCTTTGTCTTTGTCACCTCTCTGGCCCTGCTTCGAGGGCAGCGTAGAGTAGCTGTAGGAGTCGTCGGAGGTGCTGGGCAGCGCCTTGCCGCCGCCCTCCATGGCGCCGTACATGTAGAAGCCCGCGTAGTCGTCGGGGCCCTGGGCGTCCACGATGGGCACGTCCGGGATGATGGGGACTGCGGGGGGGGGGGGCAGAGCGTGCGGTCATACGGCGCAGAGGGGGGCAGTGCGGGGGGACAGGGGAACAGGGGGTGCTGATGGGCGATGGGGTGGAGGTGGGGAGTGTGGGTGGGTGGGCTAGCTACCCCTGCACCGTGGATGGGTAAGCAAAGAGACTTTAGCAAGGGGGCCACATTGTTCGGTCGAGTCGATGTTTTAAATCCTTAGAGCCGGAATTTAGTCACATCGAGTGCGGAACCTGAGAAGCCGCTTTGAATCAACGCGCAGTCTAGGTGAGCGTCTGGATCTCCACGCGAGTCTGTGGATCTCTACACAGTAAAAGCCGTCACCGGTGACCGGGCTGACACCGTCAACTCACTGCGCTTGAAAAACCCGGCTTAATCTCAACCCCCACACCCTCCACCACTTGGCAGGCTGCAGTGGGGTGGGGTGCGTCGGGTGAATAAGAGACTTTACAATGGCAGCCACGTCGCCCATCGCCTCCATTGCCACCGTACGGCAACATCAACGCGCGTCGCCGCCGCCGCCGTGGCGTCGTTCCCATGCTCACTCACTGGAAAGGGGCCGCGTGGACTGGTTGGCGATGTTCAAGGTGGACTCGCGGGGCGGCCCCCAGCCGGCGCTGTTGCGCGCCCGCACCAGGTAGCGGTACGGCACCATGGGCCGCAGGTTCTCGATGAGCATCACGCGCCGCTTGTTGCCCTGCACCTCCACGCGCTTGGTCTGCCCGATGGACCCTGCGACAACAGACGACCGTGCTGCTGATAGTGCTGCTGCTGCTGCTGCTCGTGCTGCTGTGAAACACTATCCGCACCGCTGTGCGCTGCCGAATGTGCGCTGTGCACTGCTACCGCGTATGCTATGCGCTATGGACTGTGCACGGACGGACTCCGCAATATGCGCCGTGCTATACGTTGCACATTACGTGTGATGTGACGTGACGCAATATGCATTGTGTAATGTGCAATATGCGCTACGCACTACGCACTATGCTCCATGCACTATCCACTCTGCACCACGTGCTCCGTCCTATACACTGTCCACTAGACGCTGTCCGCTCTGTACCGCGCAGCGTGCGCCGTGCACGACGCTCTCCCCACGCGGCGCTCTGCGGTGTTGCGGCTGGCGGGGGGGGAGGGGGGGGGCGGTGGGGGGGGGCTGCTCACGTCCGTCCTCGCTGATGGGCGTGTACGACGCCTCGTAGCCCGTGATGAGGCCGTTGGTCTCGGGTGGCTCCCCCCAGCTCAGCTGCAGCGTGGTGGCCGACACGATGGTGAAGGCCAGGCGGCCCGGCTCACCTGGAACTGCACGCACGCGCGGGTGGCACACACGTGCGTTTGTACACGTGCGTTTGTACACGTGCGTTTGTACACGTGCGTTTGTACACGTGCGTTTGTACACGTGCGTTTTGTACACGTGCGTTTGTACACGTGCGTTTGTACACGTGCGTTTGTACACGTGCAAAGGTAAAGATATTTCCCACCTCCCCGCCCCCCCCCGTGTAGCCTGAACAGACTTTTTTGGAGCAAGTGCTGTTGGCGGGCGCCCATGATGAACAGAGCGGCACACAAAGGGGGTGGGTGGGCAGCATCACGCACGACCGCCTTTGTCTCCCCAGTATCGATGCTTTTTTTTTACACACCGTCCCAGATACTAATTTGATGCCGAGTCGACCTAGGGGAGGCCAAGGACCGGTTCAGATAATCGTCACCGGTGTTGGCCGTGAGCGGGAATCGAACTCGGGTCACCAGGTTAGTAGCACAGCACACACACACACATATCAGAATTAAAATCTTTATTTATACTGGAGGAATCTGATGAGCTATGAAGCTCTTTTTCTCAGATGTCCACTAGGGGCGGGTCAGCAAATTACTTGCCCAAACACACACACACACACTCACGCACACACACACGAACTGTACATACATACATACGCATATATCAGATGGAACGTGTGGCTCTGACGGACGTAACATATCCCACGGATGTCACGGATCAGCTGACCACCGGGTCCACGGGCAGCCTCACCTTCCTCTAGCGTGCGGCAGGTCACCACTTCCGACGCGGGCCCCAGGCCGCGTGGGGTGATGGCGTAGACGCACATCAGGTAGTCGCAGTACGCGTAGAGGCTCGTGAGCTGCACCTCCGTCGTCTTGGTCTCTACCAGCTGCCCGTCGCCCTCGTCCTCCCCGTCGATCCAGTAGCGAACCTGCGCGGCCGCGTTCCGGGGGGGGGGGGGACCGAGTCAGAGCGTGACGCTCCGGCGCGCTGTCTGACGCTGCGCTCCAAGCGCTGGGAGCCTCTTCGGGGAACCGAACGGAGCGGATCTCTCGCGTTTGCTCGCGAACGGCGCGCGGCACAACGCGATGACACGTCGGTTGGATGCACGGCGTCATCACCATTGTGGCACAACGCGATGACACGTCGGAGGGATGCAAGGCATCATCAACATTGTCGTCATCGCGATCCATGGACAGGTAGCCGCGTAGGTGTCCACTGCACATTTTGTAATTTGTTTCCACCGTATGTAGCCAACCGTGCCGCCTCCTCCAGTCACAAGCCTCGAGCGTCTTGGGCAGCGGGTGGATGGGTCAGGCTTGTCATGGATATAGTTTCATGCAATTTTGCATGCAGCTTTTTACTTCTCATGCCAATTGACTACACGAGATGGAACTGATGAGACAATGCATTGTGGGAAATAACATATGACGTCGTCATTTTACACACAGGTCGGTGGAACCTGTGAAACACATGTTTGTATGCAGTGCCAGATTAAGCTAGTGCGGGGCCTGTAGCATATGTTATAAAGGGGCCCCAAATATAAAAAAAACACAAATATTAAAACAAATTTTTAACTTGCATTCTAACGTAAATGTTTTGTTTCATTTGATATACAGCCAGATAATACGACAAATCGCTCACCTTAAACACCCAGTCGTTCATAAAAGTTGAAGGCAATTAAGCAAGTGCACAATCACTGAACCGGAATCGATAGCTTGAAAGCCCTTGAAAGTGCGGGACCCGTAGCATATGCTACTTTTTCTACACGGATAATCTGGCGCTATTTGTATGTACTGTACGCTGACTTATTTCGTACCATACATAGCCAACCGTGATAATCGGAGAAGGACAACAAGCTACACACAAACAGCAGTTCCGCACCTTGTATCCGTTAACGGTGGCTCCGGGCGGTGGCGTCCAGTTGATCTGGATCGTTTTCCCATTCAGAGCCTCGGCCTGCACGTTCTCCGGGCCGGACATGTCCATGTGCGACTTCTGCATGCTCTCCGGCACGATGACTTCTGCGGCACACGCGCCCATCGCTCAGCTCAGTTCCCGCCCAGCGCAGCCGTTGCGCACAAAACCTGCTCTGTGTTTCAGTTTCATTTATTTTGGTGTAGCCCTGTGAGCCATTCGGCTCTTGAATCGGGTGCAACCGCAACAAACAAAAAACAAAAACATGAACAAGAAAACATCTTAAAGTGACTGTGTGACTTTGTGCAAACAGTAAATCCAGGAAAAACCAGCAAAATATTCCTGAAAAAGCACCGTACACCAACGCTGTGTGCAAAAAAATCCCAGTGGGATGCAAGTCAAACAACAACAACAACCACAAGACAACTTAGATTAAGGCCGTCAGTCTAACTCCGTACTACAACAAAACAAACATGGCCAAACCAAAAAACTTTTCGAAATCACCAAAATACAGTCATAAAAGCAATGTAACAGTGATCATAGGGACTGACCGAATTTTTTACAAGAAACTACATAATCAACATGTAACACCAAACCCTAGAGCCATAGCTGGCTGCATGAGTTACTCTACAACAACAGGAGCATCAGTTGGAGCATCAAAATTTTCAATGCACCTTTAAGCTCAGCACACCAAATCAAAATACAGATACTTTGCAGCGGTCATCCGGAGCGAAACCTTTTATTCTATTTTAAGCCACTGAATAGCAGTGGCAGCTATGGGTGTACAACTCCTCGAGAGCAGTTTTGTGTAACAACCTGGACAATGTAACGACGGTCCTGTCCAACGTAGCCTTGCACAACAACACCTGGCTTGTACAACATCAGTCTAATGTACAGTACCTGGCCTACACAACTCGCTGAGGTCGCGAGATGCTATTGCCCTCGCTTGGTATGCAGGAGTCGTGTGTTCAATCCCAACCCTGACGCCTGCTGTGTATTTCGAGTTTCCATCTTCTCCCCGTGGTCGCGTGGATTTTTCTCTGGGTCCTCTGGTTTTTCCCTCCACATTTCGAATCAACGTGCATTTAGCGTATCTGGCTGCTATAAATGTCCACGTGATAAGCCACTTCGTTGAGCTATCCTTTGTGAAAGGCAGGTCGCTTCTGAAAAACAGCTACATAGCTCAGTGGGCCTTACCTGCAAAAAATAAAAAAAGAGTTACCTGGCCTGCACAATAAAGCACGACCCGGACAGTTCCCTAACCGGGCCTGCCCAACACCACCACGACCGCCACACGCGGCCCGTAACAAGGGCCGGGCGGCGGTCCCCAAAAACCCCGGAGCGCGCTCCGCTCACCTTGCCCGTGCGCGCTGACGGTGACCACGGTCTCCTTGCGCTGGCCCAGCGCCACGCCGCCCGACGGCTCGTACATCACCACCTGGAAGTTGTCGTCGCGCGTCGGGTCGACGGGCTGGCGGTACGGGATGGTGATGCTCTTTTGGATCTCGCCGTCGGGCATCGCCAGCTCGCCCGACATGTTCTGGTAGGCGGAGGGGCGCGACGGCAGCGAGGGCAGCGTCTTCCACTTGACACGCACGTCGCCGTCGTGGCCGCGCGTGCGCACCACCGGCACGTGGATCTCCGCCTGGCCCTGCTTGTGCACCTGCGAGGTCTTGGAGAACTCCAGCAGGCCGGGGTCTGTGCGGGACGCGGGGAGGTAAGGTCGGGCCGGTCGCGCGGATCGCCTCCGCCGTCCCGCTGCTGCGGTGCTGGAAACTTAGGCCGCCGCCGCCGCCGCTTCTGCCACCTTTTTGTTCGTAAAGGTAAAGGGGCAGCCCCGCAAATGCCTGCTCACGCCACTGCTGGCACGGAGGGCCTCCACTAAACGGAACTCCTCGAGAGATTAATTCGGCCGATCCTTCCACGCTGACGAGACGCTTTGGAAGAGGTCGACGTACCCGCGCTTCATCCCACCACGCGTGCCGATCAACCAACGGTGGCGCACCAATTTACACTGCTGGCTAGTACGGAGGCGTGGGGGATTTGCCAAACTTGCCCCATTGTTTCAAACTACCGTGCCAGGAGATGGCGTGATAACCACTGCACCACAGCAGCGACCCTGCACAACATATGACAATAATATTTATAATAAATTACAGTCCTTTGTCAATCCACTGCTGGATGAAGGCCACCCCACGCCGTGTCGTTCATGGGGGTCTTTTTTACCATACTTCACCACGCTGGTCATTACGGGTTGGTGAAGGGGTGGTGGGGGAGGCGCAGGATCGATTCCGACCTTTGATTTTATCCGTGGCTGATGAATCAAAGCGAGGTCGGGTAACACCACCGGCCCACCGCGCTCCCTAATAATATTGTACATTCCACACGTAACTAAACGCAACGGACAAACCGCGACGGACGAATCGGTGTGGACGGTGGGGTGGCTGCACTCGTGAGGTCTCAACCGCACGGGTCAATCCCAGCCGGGTCTGTTCCAGGTCGCTGACCCGGCACACGACATCCAGTGTACCGCTCGCTGCGGCTGCGGCTTTCTATCATCAGGATCTTTATTTATCCTGGAGGAGGAACCCGATGAGCTGTGAAGCTCTTTTTGTTTTGTTCTTACAGATGTCCAGCAGGGGGCGAACAATGCAAAAGAAACTCTAGAAGAGCGAAGGCGACTTGTCACGTGTCACCTACTTGTTGGGGGACTGTGCGTTATCTCGGTGTGGTCCAGGACTGTTTTGTTGTTTTGGCTGCCTTGCCCAATCTCGATAAATCGGACTTTGTTAACTAATAAATTATTAACATTTTGTTACTTGCTTACCATTTTCTAAGTTTTTGTGCACTCCTATCGTTCTTCTTTTGCATTGTTTGTTGTTGTAACCTTGCTGACCCGTGCCCTACTGGACATTTATTTTAAAAAAAAGAGCTGCACAGCTCATCAGATTCCCCCTCCTCCTCCTGCGGCCTAAAGTAAAGATCGCCGATTCCGAGCCCAGCTTGAGTCTCCCAAGCGAGTGGTGCAATACCGAGTGAACTCCGCTCACCGCGGTCATCCAGGAGCGTGATGATTGAGCGCTTGTAGCGGCCGATGCGAGCGCCCAGCTTGGGGTCGAAGAGCTCCACCTCGAACTGGCGCGGCTGGGCGTAGAGCTGGGACGGGGAGCTTCGCGCCGGCAGGATCGGAATGGAGATCTCCTTGTCCTTCTCCGTCGGAGTGAACTTGAGGACTCCCTCCGTGGGCTCGTAGTCCTGAGCACGGCGCGCCCAAACGACCGAAACGCGGCGGGGGGGAGGGAGGGAGGTGAGGGAGGGAGGGAGGGGCGGAGGGGGTCGTCACGAGTCATACGTGGCCCGGAGTAGAGTCGAGCCGGTGGGCGCACACTTTCCTGTGCCCTGCGTGAACCTTCCCCGTTGTCTGAGAACAAAATAAAATCCTGAGCTCTACGCCGGTCTCCCGACCAGAGGGTTGCCACTTTGCCGACGTGCCCATCGTGGACACGGCGCGTGAGAGAAGCGCCCAGCTGAGTCGCCGCCTACCTCCACAGTACCACTCTTCTGTATTTAATACAACGCAACAAATAATAATAATAATGTGCCTGTTCGTCAGTCTACCGCTCCCACACACACACCTACCGGACTATGAGGTGCACGATGAGATGCTTTGAAAAACATGTGGGGGGGGGGGAAACTTGCGTGTCTCATAATCTTGAGAATAACGTCCTTGCAGCACCCTCTCCCCTATTCCGGAAACGTGATGAGACACTCTTCTTCCCATGAAGTGTCCCAGGGGTTCATAGCACAGAGGTGCGTGCGAGCGAGCGGCGGGGAGCGGTGGCGCAACGGTTCGCGCCCTGCGCTACTGAATCCGGTGACCCGAGTTCTATTCCCGCCCGCGGCCAACACCGGTGACAATAATCTGAAACGTTCATGGGCTTCCCCTAGGTCGACCCAGCCTCAAATGAGTACCCTGGTGCGGTGTGTAGTAAACATCACTGGGAAGACAAAGGCGGCCGGGCGTGGTGCTGGCCACCCATCCCCTCGTGTGCCTCACAGGTGCTGCTACTCGCTAACAGCACTTGCCCCAACAGTCTGTTCAGGCTATACGGTGGGACGGGGGAGATCTTTGTGTGAGTGTGCGAGGGCCGCACCTGCCGGGCGATGGCCGAGAGGTCGTGGGTCTGGTACTTGATCTGGGCGGGGCTCTCCTCCAGGATGTTGCGGTCCACGGGCACCACCACCTTGGAGACGGCATTTCGGATGGTGTACGCCGGCTGCACGAAGCTCACGATGCTCTTGGCTGCAGCCACGGGGCGCGACGGTGGGAAGAGGGAAACGGGTGACGCGACGGCTCCTAGAGACGTCGTCATTGGCGTTCTAGCGTTGGGTTAGGAACGCCGAGCTAGTCTGTGCTGCTCTCCAGTTGCCTGCGTGGACGGTGGGATAGGCTTTGCCCAATCGTGGCCAGCTGGCTGAACGAATTTAAGAAAGAAACAACGTCGGTGATAAAAGAATTGGAATTTTTGTCATCATTTTACATCCCTTTTTGTCAATTGACTTCTCCAATACTGCTTTCGTGTTTTCAGAGGCGACCTGGCCACGCGTGATGATAGCTCATCGAAGTGGCTGACGTCATCATCATCATCACCACCACCACACGTGGGAATTCACAGAAGCAGCCAAATAATCTAAACGGGTGCTGATTATAAATGTCGAAGGCAAAACCGGAGGAACCCAGAGAAATATCCACGTGACCACCACGGAGTGAGCGAGCACACGCAAACTCCAAATACACCACGGGCATCGTCAGGGTCCGGCGTCTAACCGATGACCTCCTGCGCACCGGGCGAGGGAGATGACCCCGTGCCGGATAGGTCGTAGGGACCAGCCAATGGGCGTTGGCGGAGACGGGAGCACAATGCAGTGAGGAGCGCTTTGGCGCAACGGCGACGAGGCCACCGCCCCCCCCCCCCCCCACCCCCGACCGTTGCGGCTCGCACCCATGTCCTTGATGATGGTGATGTGCACGTTGCGGCGCGTGATGCGCGCCAGCCCCTCGGGGACACTCGTGGCCTCCACCAGCAGCTTCTTCTCCATGTCGTCCTCCTCCTTGACGAAGAGCGGCACGCGCACGTCCTGCGTGTCCACGCCCTCCTGGTACTCCACCTCGCCGTGGGCGTCTGCGCGAGACAGCGTCGCGCCGCGCCGTCAAAGACGCGGCGACTAATTTCACGGTGCGTGTATGTACGTACGCATGTATGTGTGTTCAGCTGAGTTTTCAATCTAGAGTGTTCAATCGATGTGAGTCTGTGGGTCTCTATGTGATCCTATGGGTAGCCGAGTGAGTCTATCGGTCTCTATGCATGTATTGTTGAACTTCTTTTTGCACCGTACATAGTCAACCGTGCTAAATGGAAGTGTGCGGGGAAAAAACACAAAAAGGCATTTATAAAGAAATAAGTTCTCAATCTAGATAATTTAAAAGTGCTGGGCTCAATGTCACAGTGGTTTCACGTTCAATAGAATTCATTCGTTATTGATTCTAAATTATGTCAGACCACGTGAGAGACTGTTCAGACCAAACGCCTCTTTTTCAAGAGACTTTGCCTGCCTCAACAATTGACAGACGTCCCATTGTGTATTTGAGATGGACTTCCCATTGCCCTTCATATGCGCGCATCGTTGCACTCCGGCATGCTCGCAGACCAATCGGCACAACATTGGCCGGCCCTACTCCAGAGAGCTGAGCCAATCAGCATCAAGAACCGGCAACAGCAGCAGCAGTAACGCTTGATAAGGGAGAGCGAAAGCGAGCTGCCCACCCCAGTTCCTGGAGAAGCTCAGCAGCACGTGAGGGCGAAACGACGTCGGACATCGTGCCGGGCATTACGCAGCGATACACAACGCCCGAAAAACACATCGGAGAGCCATTCAGCGCAGACCTATTCGGCTCTCGTCCGCCGGCGTATTTTGTTTGCCGTGGTTGCGCGTGCGGAGGTCTCACCGCGATCGGTGGCCACAGTGTAGAAGCCCGGCACGACGGGCACCTTGCTGAAGGCGCCCAGGTTAACCTGCTTCTCCGTGGTCTCCATGATCTCTCGGAGGGCCGAGCGCGGCGCCGGCAGCACCGTGTCCACCACCACGTTCCTGTCCCTGCGTGGAGAGAGGTTCGCGACGGCGCCGGTGGGGGAGAGACGGAACGACTCATCGGAGAGAGGGAGAGAGACGGGACCCAGGGACGACACGCGGGAAGGAGGAGAGGGTTCAGATATCGCCCGCCGCTGACGTTAGCTCTAGCCGGGAATCGGACTTGGGTCTTCGAGTTCGTAGCACGGCGTGGAAAACTCTAGCACCTTCGATTAGCACGGTTGGCTACGTACAGCGCAAAAGACGTTCAACATACATACATAGCAGATTAAATCCATGAAAATAAAATCTATACGACTGTATGCAATGACGTATGTTTTAATGGGCATCGACGAAAACATAAATAGTTTAGAAGGTTGAGGCCACTTGACTTTTTAAAAACTCAACGTTTATTTTCAACTTGATTTATTTGTTATCAGACGTTTGCTTGTGGTACACAATCTGTGTGGGAGGTGTAAGGCAGACTCTTCAGGGACAAACTCTCACCTTTTTCCAGCATTCGGCTGCAATCTGTAACAGCAAAACAATTCGGCAATATTTAGTTTGTGTTATACATAATGGCCATAATAATAATGCCAAATATTTACCCCATGAAAGTCTCAAAAAGGACGTGCACTCTGAAGCAAATGTAATGCAGAACGGCCACTGCCAAACATCGCCTATTAAAAATGTTTTGTCCTGTTAAGGCCACAGCGTTAGTAATGAACACAGTGTGTTAGCAGCACCACCACACTTTGTCAGCAACAGCACCAAACGATACGAGTGAAGTGGACTTTGTCAGCAGCGTCACTAAACGATCGGAGTGAAGTGCACTGCTCATTGTCGATTCAGCGGGTGGCGGACGCTGAGACGACGGTAACGCACCTCAGCACCGTGTTGCGGACGGTCTGCGTTCCGATGACGTTGCCGTACACCGTGTTCAGCTGCAAACGCGCAAACACAACGCGAGGTGAGAAGAACAATCGGCTCGCCGGATGAACCAGAACGAGCCGCGCCACGGTGTCATCACCCCCCCCCCCCCCCCCCCCCCCCATAATGTTGGTAACGGTGGTGGGGCAGTGGTGACGATAGTGGTGGTGGTGATGATGATCATGATGAGGGGTAGTGTAGCGGTTAGCGAGCTGCGCCACGAACCCGGCAAACCGAGTTCTATCCCCGCTTACGGCCAACACCAGTGGGCCTACTGGGTCTCCACTAGGTCGACTCAACCTCAAATGAGTACCTGGTGTGGTGTGTGAAATTATCGCCACTGGGGAGAGAAAGGCGGTCGGGCGTGGTGCTGGCCACCCACCCCCTCGTGTGCCGTGCCGGCCCTCATAGGTGCTGCTCGCTAACAGCACTTGCCCCAACAGTCTGTTGAGGCTACACGGGGAATCTGTCTTTTTAGAGGTGTGCGTGTGGTGGTTGAAAGTGCTCCGTGCCACTCACATTTTGCTCCACCTCCTTGATGAGGGTCTTGTTCTCCGGAGTTCCTGGCTGCGCCAGGTTATCATTCATGAGCCGCGCCAGACGAAGGGTGATGCCATGGTACACTGACAAAGACAAAGATCCCCCATATAGCCGACATAGACGGTAGGGGCAAGTGCTGTTAGGGGCGGGGATGGTGTGGTCAGAACCACGTCCGACAACTATCGCCTTCCTTATGCTGGTAAACTCATACATTTCGTCTTCACGTCATTCTTTTGGAGCAAGGCTATCACAAACATATGTTTTACAGATGGGGGGGGGGGGGGGGGGGGTCCTGTATTAGTTTTTGCTGTAGAAAGCGATGATTACAACGTGTTCCCAAATGAAATATTTGGGAGCACATTTTTTTATCATTTGCCAAAAATCTGGACCGTGACGCCGGCGTACACGGCCGCCTCGTTTTGCCGAATGACGCCGAGGGGTCTTCAGCGTCCAGCGTGAAGCGGACGGCGCAGTGGTAACCAGGGCGGCCATTGGGTTCCAACCGTGCGGAGAAAACATAGGCTGCTCTCTAACATAGTGGGGTGGGGGTGGGGGGAATGTGATGAGCTATAAAACTCTTTTTCACAGATGTCTAGTCGGGGCACGGGGTCATGGCGTTGTAACAACAAACAATATAACAGGAAAGTGTTGGAAAGATAAACAAATCACATGAAAAAAATTATACAAATGAAACTAAACTTTTATCTGACCAGGTAATTCCCACTGAGCTCTTAGCTTATTTTTCAGAAGCGACCTCGCCACAAATGACAGCTCAACAAAGTGGCTCACCGCGTGGAAATGTGCAGCAGCAAAATCACCCAAAGAATCTAAAACGCAAGAGGCCCGAACGGTCACTCGGTCTCGTCACGTGACGCCGATAGCACAATTGGGGATTAAAATCATCGGGGGGGGGGGGGGGGAGTGAGGGCGGCGCGGGGGGAAATAAAACGATGAAGACGCGAACGATAGCGCCGAAGGCTGACGAGGTTGGTGCCGCCGAAAGGTTTTCCCGGCGTGCGGGACATCGGCTTCTCGCCACACCTGTCTCCTGCATGCTGAGAGGCGGGATGGTGGCCGCCGGCTTGTGGACGTTGTCCGTCACCTTCCACTTGACGATGTCGGGGCCGCCCAGGGGCCCGGCGCGGGCCAGCGGCGTGTCCACGTAGTCGGCCGTCAGCGCGTTCTGGTGGAACAGGTACTGGTCCTCCGTCCAGCCCACCGTGCGACCTGTGGGCGAGCGAACCGGCAATGCTCCGGCAGCGTCTCGGATACCGCGCCGCCCGTGTCTCCCGTAGACACTGCCCACCTTCTGTAGACCATTAATGAAATGGTGCCGCTGTGGAGAGATGTTTACTCCCTCGCCTGGTGTGCAGGAGGCCGTGTGTTCGATCCTGACCCTGACACCTGTTTATGTATTTGGAGTGTGCGTTTCTCTCTCTCTCTCTCCCTGTGGTCGCGTGGATTTTTATCCGGGTCCTCCGGTTTTTCCCTCCACATTTAGAAAACAATGTGCGTTACGAGTATTGAGCTACGATAGATTTCCACACCATACGCCACTTAGATGAGCTATCATTTGTGATAAGCCAGGTGGCCTCTGAAAAAAAAAGATACATAGCTCAGTGGGCCTTACCTGGAAGTAAAAAAAACCGTAGACAATGTCCCCAATAGCCTTTCTCCTATAGACACCCCGTGTCTCGTGTAGATAGCAACCCATCTTATCCGCTTTGGTGTAATGTGGTGAGCACACTGCACCTTGCAAGGCCAGTGGTCCGCCTGTTTTAATCTCCTGGCACGGCCGTTTAAACATTGAGGCACCTTTCTTAAAGCTTCCTCTGTGCACCCACGTGGTAGCTAAGGGCAGGATCATTATCAGAACATAATGTGGAATGCTTTGGTTGCCCAGGAAGGCATTTACATTCAGGCTAGGTCTGATATGAGCTCTGAAAACGGCTGAGTGCTCACCTTTAGTCCAGGCTCCAATCGGGACCTTCTGGTATCCCTGTGGAAGAAGCCATGATCAGATGTCAATATTGATGAGACGTCACATGGTCACACAACGCAACGGGTAATAAAAGTAATTTCCATAATTTACAGACCCTTTTGTCAGTCCACTTCTGGATGGAGGCCTCCCCAAGCACCGTGGCAGTCGTGAGGGGTCAATCGACCGTACTTCCCCACGTGGGCTGCTCAGTGCGAGTTGGTGAAGTTGTGGGGGTGGGACCAAGGAACAGCCGTGGCTCCGTATCGAACTCAGGTGGCCAGGTTCGTGGTGAGTGCGTGTGTGTGTGTGTACGAACGGAGCGGTAGTGTAGCGGTTAGCGTGCTGCGCTACCAACCTGGCGACCCGAGTTCGATTCCCACTCACGGCCAACGCCAGTGGTAATTATCTGAACTGATCTTGGGCCTCCCCTAGGTCGACTTAGCCTCAAATGAGCACCTGGTGCGGTGTGTAAACATCGCCGCTGAGGAGACAAAGGCGGTCGGGCATGGTGCTGGCCACCCACCCCTTCGTGTGCCATGCCGGCCTTCATAATTGCCCGTTAACAGCACTTGCCCCAACAATCTATAGGGGAGATGTTTGTCTTTGTACGAACCACCGCGCCACCACTTTCTTCCCGCCACATGACAAGTACAATATCAGTGTGACACTGAAGTTTCAGGTAAGCCCATTAAATGCGGTCTTAACGTCTCCTGTAGCTGTAATGTAAAAGTGGCGAAGGTGTGAATACCAGCCTCTCGGAGTGCATTCAAAAAGGCGCTCCTCTCGAAGCTATTATCGCAAGCTTAAAGCCTGGACGATGAATTTACACACACTGTCCATACGCTGAGAAGGAGTCTGTAGCTCACTCCGAAAGCAAACATGCATTTCGTGCACTCTGTACAAGCCCTACGCAGTCACCCTCCAGCATTGCGTGTACACAGTGATAACGTGCGAGTGGATTGTGTCGGTCCCTTCGCTGCCCCTCTATCCCTCTGCCCTGGTCTAATCTAAACTAGATTTTTTTTTATTGTACCAGGTTAAGGCCCGCTGAGCTATATAGCTCTCTTTCAGAAGCGACCTGGCCACAAAGGGTAGCCCCACGAGGTGGCTTATTGTCACGTAGCGGCCGAACGCCCTCGGACGCGTTGTTCCTCTGCGGGTGCCGTGCGTCGGCCGTCACCTTGCAGCAGGCGAAGCCGCCGACGCAGCACTTCCAGCACAGGAAGGCGAGGAGGCCGAGCAGCGGAATGAGCAACATGATGAGGGGGATGAGCCACAGGAAGCCAGCCGCCGGGCACTCTGGCGAAGGGACAACGAGCACATGGCATACGACGACGGCGTCACCACCACCGCACCACGAAATCCCAAGGCACAAGTAGCCTGCACGAAGTGTCCTGAGCGTGTTTCCATCATCGTTGACACACACACACGTCACAAAGATTGGCCACACAATGGCAGATCAGCCCGGCGTGACCCCACATTTTAGCAGACTCTCGCGCAATCAATGCAAGCACAGCAATACAAATCATCAAACACAGCGAGTAACACAACTGACAAAATGTTTATTGTAGTGCATCTCCATAAACTAACTTTTGGGGGCCTGCTCTTGGGAATTGGGATTTGATGTCCAATTTGAACCTTTATACGTTATTTATATTTATTTGATAGCGATTTGATTACATTTCCTATACTCTGCATTCTGATCTTTTTTTAAAATATCGTTTATTGCTGTAACATTTTGACCCCCACACCCCGACTGGACATGTGTGCAAAAAGAAAACCTTCAAAGCTCGTCGGTTTTTTTAATCCAGTGAAAAAAAAAATCCCAATAATCTGATTCTGACGTTTGGCATAAAACAAAAACAAAAATCGCACGGCTTTATTCATTTCATTTCCGGAGCCAGCCACCCGGCCGACCGTGTCGCGGCCTCTCACCCTTCTTCTTGAGCGTCTCGATCCTGTACTCGCTGCGGTCGTCCGGGGAGTTCTCCACCGTATAGTGGTACACGCAGCCGTCCTCCTCGTCCTTGAACTTGCACACCTCGAGCACCGAGTTGGCTGCGCAGACGGACAGCAGGCGAACGCGACGCGCGCAGCCACGGCCAGCGTTGGCGTCAAACTTACCGCGTGCCCCCCTCCAAGGCGCCGCACGCGAGGGGCGCGGCTGCGGAGCGGCGGTCCCGGGTTCGACTCCCGGCTTGCGCGCGAGTGATGCATCATCTTTTGATCCCGTCTCGTTCGCATTTTTCTCAATTCTGTTCATTACCTTGTTTGTACGGATTTCTCCACGAAATCTGTCTGTCGACCCTGATGAAGCTGGTTGTAATTACTGGCGAAACGCCGTACTCAGATTGTAAATGTTGTGGCTTTGCTAACCAACACGCCGGTGTGCCGTACTAGTGACGAATTGGCCACGTTCTGTTTACGTGACAACCCTTAGTAATTGGCTGTGTCGGGTGGTGGCGAGTTTAACGACACATTTATATATTTACAGTTAGTGACTCAGTGTCACATTTCTCCTCCGAGTATCACAAACTCTCATCCGGGTGTGCCACCGTGCGTGTGCGTTCGCGTGCGCGCGTGTTGTGTGTGTGTGCGCGTGTTGTGTGTGTGCGCATGTTGTGTGTTGCACGTGTTGTGTGTGTGTGTGTTGTGTGTGTGCGTGCGCGTGTTGTGTGTGTGTGCGCGTGCGCATGTTGTGTGTGTGCGTGCGCGTGTTGTGTGTGTCCGCGTGCGTGTTGTGTGTGTGCACGCGTGCGCATGTTGTGTGTGTGCGTGTGTTGTGTGTGTGCGTGCACGTGTTTTGTGTGTGCGTGTTGTGTGTGTGCGTGCACGTGTTGTGTGCGTGCACGTGTTGTGTGCGTGCGCGTGTGAAGCACCGACCTCCTTTGAGCTCGTCGACCATGACGGTTTGCGGGGAGCATCGTCCGCACTCATCACCCTTCTTCTCGCCGGTGCCCCAAGCCTGGCACTGCACGCAGGAGCGCGTGTCCTCGCACAGGCCCAGGCACTTCTGCTCGCACCGACGCACGCACGCACGCACACACGCGCGAGCATCACCGCCGGGCACTCGGAGCCATCGTGGCAGGCAGCCGACCCGCTCGGCGTTTCCGCGGCGGCACAGCGGCGACTCGCGCGCCGCTCTCTGAAACCCGGTGAGCCGAGTTTGATTCCCGGTCCGCGGGTCGGAGCCCTCCGCTCGTGATACGCACGTCGAATTGTGCACGCGGGAATCAATTCACTTGCGATTTGCGTAACATTATGCAGGAATTATATTATGGTAGATTCAGGTTAACGGAGAAAATAAAACCGTATGAATGAGATGATGAAAAGAAAATTGAAAAATGCCAATGAGATGGGATAAAAAATACACAAAACATTGTTAAAGTGAATCGTGCCACTAAACTATGGCGAGTCACAGAATCTCTGGCAGGGTGTATTGTTACCTACCTCGAGTTTTATGCACCAAGATCCCCACATAACCTTCAACAGACTGTTGGAGCAAGTGCTGTTAGCGAGCACCTATTACTACCGCTGCTCCCACACACCCGCCCACAAGCACACCCCACGGCACGTGAGAATCACCGTATAAAGCTTCTTCAAGGATGTGACCCCGGTACAAATAGTGGAGCTGCGGTGCCCCCACCACCACCACTCACCAGGCAGACCTCGCAGGTGGAGCCACTGAACTGCTGCTTGTCACACTCGCACACGCCGCAGCGGCACGTCCCTCGGCCGTTACAGATTCCCTGCGAACAGAACGAATCCCTCAGCTCCCCTCCTTCTCGCTGACCGTCGCAGCCACAGAGGGGGAACGGCGCGGCCACGCAGCCACAGTGGCAGTGGATAGAGCAGTTGCTGATGCGCGCACGTGAGCGTGTGAGCGTGCGTGTGTGCGTGCGTGCAGGTCGACTCAGCCTCAAATGTGTACCTGGTGCGGTGTGTAAACATCGCCACTCGGGAGTCAAAGGCGGCCAGGCCGTGGTGCTGACCACCCACCCCCTCGTGTACCGTTCCGGCCTTTATAGGTGCTCGCTAACAGCACTTGCCCCTACAGTCTGTTAAGGCTATACGGGGGATCTTTATCATTGTGTCCGGTAAAATGGACACGACTGGGCAGTTGGAGACAGTCGCCCTCCAACAACAGCAGAGGACACGGGAGCGACGCTCACAACAACGAGCGGAGCGCCGGTGAGGCTAAAACGCAGCAAGTTGGCGCACTAGGGGGCACAGTTGGTGCATTGGCCAGTCATCTCAGTCAAGTCAACCAATGGCAACTGGGTCTGTCCTGTGACCTCCTGCCTGCAAGCCTTTGACACTTCACCCAGTCTCAAAATTCACCTGGCCTGGCACAAGCGCCATGGCCGGATCGAGGGGGCTAAACGGGTGCAGCACGGGCTAAAGAAGAGATGGAGTGATGTGGTACAGGAGGACGTGGAGCTGAGTGGACTTGCCGATGACTGGTACCAGCGGTGTCAAGATCGGCCTCTGTGGAAGAGGCTCGTGAAGGACGCTACTGAGCAGTTGGAGGCAGTCACCCTCCAACAACAACGGAGGGCGGAGGAGCGACGCTCACAACAACGAGCGGAGCGCCGGGTGGCTAAAGCACAGCAGGTTGGCACAGTAGGGGGCACAGGTGGTGCATCAGCCAGTCATCTCAGTCATCTTAGTCAGTCGGCCCGTGGCACCTGGGTCTGCCCCGTGACCTCCTGCCAGCGGGCGTTCGACACTTCACGTGGCCTCAAGGTGCACATGGCCTGGCACAAGCGTCGTGGTGACGTCACCGCCACTTAGTGGCGAATGGCGGTTGTTGTTGTTGTTGTTGTGTCAATGAGTGAGTGTTTGAGTTTGTGTGTCAGTCAGTGAGTGTGTCAGTGAGTGAGTGTCAGTGAGTGTGCCAGTCAGTGAGTGAGTGTGTCAGTCAGTGAGTGTGTCAGTGAGTGAGTGTGTCAGTGATTGTGTTAGTGGGTGAGTGTGTTAGTGAGTGAGTGTGTCAGTGAGTGTGTCAGTGAGTGTCAGTCAGTGAGTGTGTCATTGAGTGAGCGTGTTACTCAGTGAGTGTGTCAGTCAGTGAGTGTGTCAGTGAGTGAGTGTGTCAGTGAGTGTGTTAGTGGGTGAGTGTGTCAGTGAGTGTGTCAGTGAGTGAGTGTGTCAGTGAGTGTGTCAGTCAGTGAATGTGTCAGTGAGTGAGTGTGTCATTGAGTGAGTGTGTCAGTGAGTGAGTGTCAGTCAGTGAGTGTGTCAGTCAGTGAGTGTGTCAGTGAGTGAGTGTGTCAGTCAGTGAGTGTGTCAGTGAGTGAGTGTGTCAGTGGTGAGTGTGGCACTCACCCCGCGGCCATCGCGGCATGTTTCCACACCCAGGGGGCACTGGCACGCCTCCCCCGTCCAGCCGGGGCTGCACTCACACTTCCCGCAGCTGCAGTCGCCGCGACCTGCACTCACACGCACGTACATGGATACAGAGACGAGACACAAAGATACAACTAAAACCAGAATTTTTGTAAAATAAACGAAACTATTTTATTGTTACTGGGTCATTCCCACCGAGCTCGTTTTCAGAAGCGACCTGGCACACGTGGAAATTGATAGCAGCCAAATGCGCATGCCAGGCAAAGGGAGTTCACATTCGTAGAATCGAAAATCAATTTCTTTCGAACGGCCATTTTTGTTGCGTTTCGTTCGCTCTCCTTCCCCACCGGCACCTCCAATTGGCACGGTTGGCCGAGTAGAGCGCGAAAGAAGTTCAGCGTTCGTACAAACATCCGTGCAACGTCTCCCCCGCCCCCCCTTGCCCCCGCGAAGCCTAAACAGACCGTCGGGGCAAGAGCCGCGCCAGCGCTGGGTTAGGCACGGCCTGCCTGCGCACCGTTGCAGATGATGCCGTTGGCGCGCGGGCACTGGAAGTTGTCGCACTCGCAGTACTGCCCGTAGTACTTCTCCAGCGGGTTGGGCCGCGGCCAGCAGAAGCAGCTGCCGCACACGCAGTCGCCACGCTTGGAGCAGGGCTCCGAGTCGCCGGGCCGCGTGCACGACGCCGCGTTCACCAACTGCGACGTCCCCAGCTTGCTGCAGTTGCAGTTGGAGCCCAGCCTGCGGAACGGCACGTGCGCGAATGGGCACGTGCGTGGATGGGCACGTGCACGGATGGGCACGTGCGCGGGCGGGTGGGCATCCCCCCCCCCCCCACCACGGCTCCCCGCCGCCACCCCCCCCCCCCGACCCTTTTGTGTCATTTATTTTGTTGGTACAACCCAAAAGCTGAACTCTTCACGTCTCGCGAAGCTTGCTTTAGTCACGCTACACCGATCCGCGCTTGTGCAAGGAATGTGTTGCTCATGGAAGCGTTCACAAAAGCAACTACCATTCATTGGTAGTTGCGCAATAAACTAAACTATGATTTTTTTTATTTCACCAGGTCAGGCCCACTAAGCTGCTACATATCTCTTTTTAAAAGCGACCTGGCCATCACAAATGACAGCTCAACGAAGTGGCTTATCACGTGGAAATGCATAGCAGCCAAATACTCGAAACACGTGACGTCGATTCTGAATGTGGAGGAGAAAACCCGGAGGACCCGGAGAAAAATCCACGTGACCACGGGGAGAGACGGAGACACGCAAACTCCAAACATACAGCAGGCGTCGGCGTCAGGATCGAACCCACGACCTCCGGTATACCAAGCGAGGTAGTTAACATCTCATAGCCACCGAGGCACCCGATAGGTTAAGGAGCAACCCCGCAACGTCTTGCTCAAGCCACTGCTGGCGAAAGGGCCTCCACTAGAGGCAACTCTCTCTAGAGAACCCCTCTGAAGCGGTTGGTTCTTCTTAACCTGAGGTGCACACACTCCCCGGGGGTACAAGATGCCCTTTCTGGCCAGAATTTGTATAAAGGTAAATCATCTAAAAACACAAACTAAGCACGGGCACGTAAGCACAACTACTTTGTTTCAGAACCAAAGGGGTGCAAGGCTGCAGTGAAGGTGAAGAACCACTGGCCTAGAGGAGGGTACTAGGACCGAGTCTCCCACACTCACGATGGGCCACCGTCACGCGGTCCAACCTGTGAAGTGTCCCCAACCTGACCAGCGCCATCGACCGGGCCACCGGGGGCGTGACCCGACGATGTCCCGGTGCGAGTGACCCACTGGCCAGACGTTCTGTTTTGGAAGCGGTGGGGGGGTTGCCAGCACCGTACCCCCCCACTCCCCACCACCGCCCCCCCCCCACCGCACGCCGCCTGCCGGTCGGCTCGTGACGTGGCACAGGTGGAAGTTGCTCCGGGGGGAGCTGAGCGAGCGCCGCCACGTACCAGCCATCGTTGCAGTAGCAGTGGCCGCAGGTCAAGCGTCCGTTCCCACTGCACATTGGGTTCGACACCGGCGTGGCCTGTGGATGCGGCGGACAGAGGACGAGGACACGGGGAGAGGCGGTGGGGGGGGGGGGGGAGCGGGACGGAGGGGAGTCAGCGTGAAGCCTATGCCGGCGTGGCTCGCTGTGTTGTGCCCAAGTACAAAGACGGCCACGGCATCGCGGCGCTTTCAGCTTCTGTGGCCGTCTGGAACGCTCTTCCTTCTGACATTAGGAAACCACTGGAGCGATGCACTTTTAGCGCGGTTGGCTAAATAATAAATAAATTCAACATTTATGAAATAAGTTCAACATGTATGTTGAACTTATTTCGCACCGTACGTAGCCAACCGTGCTAATCGGAAGTGCGACAATCGGAGGTTTGAGTGCAGACCATCGCAGATCATCCACTCGGGTCCCTCGCTGGCTCCTAATCGAATTCCGGATCAATCAAAGATTGCTCTCACCATCTTCAAGATTTTCCGTGGACTCACCTCTGCCTTCCTCTCCCCCTTCATCTCACTCTACACCACTCCACGCACGCTCCTACGTCTCCAGTCTGAGCTACTGCTCCAGTCAACCTTTGCTCAGTGGGAGGTTGCTCATTATCTTCTGCTGTCCCCGCTGTCTGGAACTCTCTTCCCCCAGCCATCCTTGCTGTCGTCTCCCTGCCCTGTGTAAGTCCAGTCTCAAGACCTTCATTTTTTCCCTCTGCCCGAGACTCTCAGCGGTGTATTGCACCACACGGTGGCTCATTGCGTGCTTCTCTCACCTCGTGTCTGAGCACAAATCCAATTTCACGTCGTAAATTGACGAACAGGTGGCATGCGGCGGAACGTCTGGTGACGAGCGAACCGACTGCTGTTACACCAACTGCTATTCGACGTAGCGCGACTGCGGAAGCGAGCGACAGATGGCGAACTGGCTCAGCTCACCTCGCACGGGCAGTCGCACAGGATCTCCGCGTTGATGTTGAGGCCGTCGTAGAAGCGCGCCGGCTTCAGCGTGAAGTTGATGTTGCTGCGCTCCCTGGGTGTCATGTCGCACAGCGACCGGTCGTTATAACGCTCGTCCGCCATCAGCTTCACGCGGTAGTTCACCTGCACGGCGACGCGGGCGGTGGCGGTGGGGGGGGGGGGGGAGACGGGGTCACGGGGTCACGGGGCACGCGAGAGCACGGAGAGATGATGCACGGGGTTAAGGGGTCTCGGGGGAGATGGCGGTAGAGGGCGGATGGGGGTCACGGGGTTATGGTGACACAGGAACATGGTTGACACGGGGTCATGGGGCACACGGGGATCATGCGGGACATGAGTACGTGAGGGCACAGTGCCCGTGCATGGGGACAGGATTCATCTGCCGTACTCTCATCTCCTGGCTACGTCGTTAACCAAGCCCACAACCCCCGTTAGTCTCAAGCAGTCTCCCATACCGAGCGCTGATGCCTACAACACCTGGAATCCCAGAGCAGGTTCTCATGTAAGGCTCAACTCTGCTCAACTTCCAAGATCCGACGAGATCAGGTGCATGCAGGCTGATTCGGTCACAGACCGTGAGTCCGCACCACAGCATCCAGGGGGGTGGAGAGGGCCGAGCCCCTCCTAAATTCTGATAGTCAAAGCCAAAAAATGTGGGTACCATATTTTACTCCAGCGTCGGTTCGTAGCTTCAGCCTTTGCTCACACACAGAGCGAGGGAGCGGCAGCAGAATGCATGATAGATGACAGGGTCGTGCCCTCCCTCACGCCCAGAGTTTCTGTATGCTTCCCCACCTCTGCCCCCCCACCCCCCCACTTTAAACTATCGGCGTGGTGGCGAGATGTTTACTACCTCGCTTGGTATATACAGTAAGAGGTCGTGGGTTCGATCCCGACCCTGACACCTGTATATTTTGAGTTTGCACGTTTCTCTCCCCCGTGGTCACGTGGATTTTTCTCCAGGTCCTCCAGGTTTTTCCCACCACGTTCACAATCAACGTCACCACGCGTTTAGAGTATTTGGCTGCTATAAATGTCCACGTGATGAGCCGCTTCGTTAAGCTATTATTTGTGATAGCCAGGTCACTTCATATCTCAGTGGTGCCTTACCTGGTAAAATAAAATATAGTTGTGTTTAAATAGTAGTTTAGTCTCAGAAATTACTTCTGAAACAAAACGTGCTATGAAGGTCGTTTTTTGTTCCACATAAATTGGCTGAATTCCACCACGGAGAATAGATTTTCCTCAAAGCAGAAATCATTTTTAAGAGTTAAAAAAACGAGGTCACGAGGCAGGGCTGCCGCCGTGCGCCGCCGCTTGGGCCCAGGAGCCGTGCCTGCGTCGCCGCCGGACAACAGCGTGACCCAGCGGAGGAGGAGGAGGCACTCACGATCTGGCCCGGCGTGGCGTTCACCACGCTGGCGTCCTTCTCCGTGCCGTCGGCCGCCACCTGCAGGAACTCGGCCTTGAGGTAGCGCGGGAGCCCCTCGGCCTGCAGCTGCAGCTTGGAGCGCAAAGCCTGCACAAGGCCGCGTTAGAGAAGGGCCGAGCAGAGTAACGCCGTTAGCCACCAACACCGCCGCAGTCCGACTCTTACATCGACTGTCCAGCAACAGACTTCATTTGCCCCTCGGACAGGTTGTCTGTCGGGCACAGCATCCGAGGGCTGCCCCCTGTTGTGGTTTTTGCCGAAGATCGCCCTTCTCTTTGAAGACGCTGTCCAGGGAAATATGTGGGCCTTCCCGGGACATTAACGGTCCTGGTAATTTTTCAATTGATGTCGTAGTAATAATAATAGTACATCGCTCTCGTCCTCTTTGCATGACATGTCCCGTTGATTTTTGAACCTCAGAGGTGGCAACCCGAGGGCTATTTTCTTTTGTTACCAGAAGGAACCAGGGATCTAACAGGTATTGATGATCAGCTATGCACAACCTTTGATTCAGTAAAAAAAACACCACGAGTGAAAATGTAAATTGTGCTAATCGTATGAGGTGTTAGAAATCGCCAAACTTTCTTCCCATTCATCTACAGCAAAAAGAAACATTCCGAACAAAGCCTCAGATTTCAAAAACAGCTAAATAACAATGAGAATTCAGCACGCAGACAAGGTGCGCACGGATCACTTCGGAGCGTGGAGAATTGGACAAGAGAGACGTTTCACCGTCGTAAAAGTAAACAAAAAAACACCCCCCAACGGGGGTGGGGGGGGGCGCCAGGCCGCTGGGCGTGACGGTGGCCGCACCTTGAAGGAGGACTGGAGAAGCTGGATGATGTTGGAGGAGTCTTCCTGGAGCTCTCCGTACGTCGAGTCCGGGAAGAACTTCGCCAGACTCTGCCGAGACACGGGCACGAGAAACACGGGCGGTCGACTTCCCTCTACCAACAACGACAACGACCGCCGTTCATCACTGATTCAGGCGGTGACGTCACCGCGGCGCTTGTGCCATGCCAGGTGCACTTCGAGGCCACGTGAAGTGTCGAAGACCCAGGTGCCGTCGGTCGACTGGCTGAGATGGCTGGCAGATGCGCCACCCGTGCCCCCTGCTGTGCCAACTCGCTGCGTTTTAGCCGCCCGGATCGATCCGCTCGTTGTTGTGAGCGTCACTCCTCCGCCCTCCGTTGTTGCTGGAGGGCGACTGCCTCCAACTCCCCAGAAGCGTCCTTCACGAGCCTCCTCCACAGAGGTCGATCTTAACACTGATGCTACCAGTCATCGGCAAGTCCACTCAGCTCCACATCCTCCTGTACTCTAGCCCATGCCGTGCTCGTTTAGCCCCATCTATCTGGCGGAATAGAAGCTGCTTGGGCATGCAGTGGCTGGGCATGCGGGCTGCATGGCCCAGCTACACACCACGTGACCTTAGAACTGCTTTTTGTGTTTAGTTTGTTGTCCGTCCCCCGCACCTCCGATTAGCGCGGTTGGCTACGTACGGTGTGTAAGAAGTTCAACTGACATACAAAGATCCCCCGTGTAGCCTTTAACAGGCTGGTGGGGCAAGTGCTGTTAGCGAGCACCTATGAAGGGTGGCCAACACCATGCCCGGTGGCCTTTGTCTCCCCAGTGGCGATGTTTACAAACCGCACCAGGAACTAATTTGAGGCCGAGTCAACCTAGGGGACGCCCAGGATCGGTTCAGATAATCGTCACCGATGTTGGCCGCGAGCGGGAATCGAACTCAGGTCGCCGGGTTCGTAGCGCAGCGTAACGCTAACCGTGACATCGCCGCTTCCCCTTACACACACACGAAGATCCCGCGTCTCGCTTTAACAGGGCAAGTGCTGTTAGCGAGCCGGTCACGGCACACACACACGTGCGCACGCGCACACACACGCACACACACACACACGCGCACACACACACACGCGCACACACGCACACGCACACACACACACATGCGCACACACACGCACGCGCACACACACGCGCACACACACACACACGCGCGTGCACGCGAGCGCGCTCAGCGGGACACGCGGCGAAGGGGGGGGGTGGCCTCACCGTGTACCACTCAATGGCGTGCTGCGTGACGGCAAAGATGGGGATGATGTTGTTCTTGCCGAGAAGGCGCACGAGCGTGGGCACGGAGGGGTAGTCCTGCGCCTCGCCCTCCGTGTAGTCGCCGTCGGGGGTCAGGTGGCACTGCTCGTCGTTACGCTTGAGGATCCCCGCGAGGACGTTGGCCCCGTCGGCCTCGTAGTGGAAGGCCGACTCCGTGGAGAACACCAGCAGGTGGGTGGTGCGGTTGCGCCAGCCGATCTCCTTCTGCACAGTTTATTTTTCCGTTTCAATTATTTGGTAAAGCCCTGTGAGCCATTCGGCTCTTGAATCGGGTGCAACCGCAACAAACAAAAACATGAACAAGAAAGCATCTTAAAAGTCTTCCAGAAAAAGCACCGTGTATCATCGCTATGTGCAAAAATCCCAGTGGGATGCAAGTCAAACAATAACAACCATGAGACAATTTAGATTAAAGTTATCAGTCTAACTCTGTACTACAACAAACAAATATGGCTAAACCAAAACGTTTTCGAAATCACCAAAATAAAGCTATGAAAGCAATGTGACAGTGATCATAGGGACTGTGGTTGAAATTTTACAATAAACGATATATACATAACATGTACGACCAAACTTTGGCAACATGAGTCACGCCATAACAGCAGGAGTATCAGTCGGAGTATCAACATTGTTCAATGTCCGGCGGGGTACGGAGGGCACGCCAGTGTGTGTCAGTGTGTGTCTGTCTTTGTTGTCAGTGTGTGTCAGTGTGTGCCAGTGTGTGTCAGTGTGTGTCAGTGTGTGTCAGTATGTGTCAGTGTCTGTCTTTGTTGTCAGTGTGTGTCAGTGTGTGTCAGTATGTGTCAGTGTGTGTCAGTGTGTGTCAGTATGTGTCAGTGTGTGTCAGTGTGTGTCAGTGTGTGTCAGTATGTGTCTGTCTTTGTTGTCAGTATGTGTCAGTGTGTGTCACTGTGTGTCAGTGTGTGTCAGTATGTGTCAGTGTGTGTCAGTATGTGTCAGTGTGTGTCAGTGTGTGTCAGTGTGTGTTAGTGTGTGTCAGTGTGTGTCAGTATGTGTCAGTGTGTGTCAGTGTGTGTCAGTATGTGTCAGTGTGTGTCAGTGTGTGTCAGTGTGTGCCAGTGTGTGTCAGTGTGTGTCAGTATGTGTCAGTGTGTGTCAGTATGTGTCAGTGTGTGTCAGTGTGTGTCAGTATGTGCCAGTGTGTGCCAGTGTGTGTCAGTGTGTGTCAGCGTGTGTCAGTGTGTGTCAGTGTGTGCCAGTGTGTGTCAGTGTGTGTCAGTATGTGTCAGTGTGTGTCAGTGTGTGTCAGTGTGTGCCAGTATGTGTCAGTGTGTGTCAGCGTGTGTCAGCGTGTGCCAGTGTGTGTCAGTATGTGCCAGTGTGTGTCAGTATGTGTCAGTGTGTGCCAGTATGTGTCAGTGTGTGTCAGTGTGTGTCAGTGTGTGTCAGTATGTGTCAGTGTGTGCCAGTGTGTGTCAGTGTGTGTCAGTATGTGTCAGTATGTGTCAGTGTGTGTCAGTATGTGTCAGTGTGTGTCAGTGTGTGCCAGTGTGTGTCAGTGTGTGTCAGTGTGTCAGTATGTGCGTGGTCCTCCACGAGGAGCGGGAGTGTTATGATTATCGTGCTGCCCTACGAACCCGGCGACCCGAGTTCAATTCCGGCCAACACCGGTGACGAGTATCCGAAACGGTCCTGGGCCTCCCCCGAGTCGACGCAGCCTCAAAATGAGCACCTGGTGCGATTGTGCAAACCTCGCCACTGGGGAGACAAAGGCGGCCGGGCGTGGTGTTGGCCACCCACCCCCTCGTGGTGCATTGCCGGCCGTCAAAGGTGCTCGCTAACACCCCACCCACCCCCGCCCCGCCGCCACCTCCGCCTTTGTCGTTGTACGGTGCTTCTATGTCATCCAGCGCTGTGCCACCCTCGCCAACGCCCCCCCGCGCCCCCCGCATGCCCTCACCGTGCACACGGCCACTTGCAGCATGGCATCGAAGCCGCCCTCGGGAGCGTCGCGGTTGCCCGAGATCCGCTCGCCCTGCAGCTTGTCCTGGAAGTGCTGCACGTCGGCCGTGAGCGGGATGACGTTCTTGAAGGAGAAGGGGGGGTCGCTGTCCTCCCACGGCTGCTTCAGCCTGCAGGGGGTAAGGCGGAGGGGGGGGGGGGTTTGGGCAGGATATGCGCCGACGTTGATCGACCTCCGCCAAAGGATATTGGGGCCGTCCATAAATGACGTCACGCGATTTTGGACTATTTTTTACCCCCCCCCCCCCCCAAAACCATATTTTCATTTTGATAATAAAACATGCTTCAAATCGCTTTAAACTATTGACATTGTAGTGCGTATTTAATGTGGCGCTGCACTCTGATGTCGTAGGAGAAAACATTTATTAAAAAGTCTATTTAATTCAGTAGAACGTGTTGTCTATATTTTATTTAAAGTTGCGCATTTTGATGTGACGTCACATTTCTCAAACCCCCCCCGCCCTCGTCACACATCGTCACAAATGTCTGACCCCGCCCTCCCCCCAGGTGCGTGACGTCATTTATGGACGGCCCCCTTGCCCTTGCGGGTGACCTGATGAGAGAATCGCGGAGCTACTCCTGCGTCGAGCTGAGTCGACCGATGAGATGGTAAATCAACGGCAGCTTGGTACACACGCACACACAAAGACAAAGATCCCCCGTTGAGCCTTTGCAGACTGCTGAGGCATGTTAGCGAGCAGCACCTATGAAGGCTGCCACACGAGGGGGGTGAGTGGCCAACACCACGCCCGGCCGCCTTTGTCTCCCCAGTGGCGATGTTTACACACCGCACCAGGTACTCATTTGAGGCTGAGTTGACCTAGGGGAGGCCCAGGACCGGTTCAGATAATCGTCACTGGTGTTGGCCGTGAGTGGGAATCGAACTCCGATCACCGGGTTGTGCTAACAGCTCCACTACCGCGATCTCACAAAAGACAAAGATAAAGATCCCCCGTGTAGCCTTAACAGACTGTAGGGGCAAGTGCTGTTAGCGAGCAGCACCTCAGTCACGTGCCAGTCGCGGCTCCTCTCGGAAACGTGGCTCAACGTGGGACGGGTTCTGGAGGCCAGGAGCCGGCTCAAATGTCACTCGTCACTGCTGGCAGTTATCCTTGGCCGGGAATTATCCATCGTAACTTCATAATGCTACATGAACCCCCACACACACACACTCTGTGGTCTACGTACATGATATCCTCACGGTGATGCCATCACCTTGACTCTACTCTATTGAAGACCGGAAGCAGGAAGACTTCTTCACAATTCTCGCAAATCGCCTGACGAGGCTGGTTGTAAACCAGCAGTGAAAACGTCGTGCTCAAATTGTTAATGTTGTTGCGAGTTTACTCTGCACCGGGCGTGCTGAACTAGTGACGAATTAGCACGTTCTGTTGACGTGACAAGCCTCACTAATTGGCCGTGTCGGGTGGTGGCGGGTTTAACGACACATTTATATTAACGCGATCTAAACCTCCCCCCACCCCCCCCCCCCCCCCCCCCCAAAAAAAAGAACCCTTCATTTTGGGAATTAAACTCACTGATCGGTGTGCCAACCACCACGCCAGCTGTCCACCTTGCAGTGGTGCACGGCAATTGCCCGTCATTGCCGAACACAAGGGAATGATGCTCTGTTGCCCCGCTTAAGACAGAGTTCACCAACATTCCTGCGGCGCGCTACCGCAGCAACGGTGCGATCATCAGGATGCGCGCCTCGTTGTCCTTTACATGTGCGACGTGTAAAACATGTCACGGAGCGCTCGTTAAAACAAACTAAAACCTCGTCTCATGCAAGCACAATCAACCACGGATATTCGCAACTCTTTCTCTCTTTTATCTTTACTGCCCAAGTGCGGGTCCACGGATCAAGCTCCCCCCCAGTGCATCGGACCGCACTCCACTCCACTCCCCCCCCTTCTTGAACTCGCAGCACCGGTCCCCCCACGGTCGCTTCCAAGCCGCAGCTTTGGGCCGGAGCGTTGCGGTGAAATTGACGCGCGGAGCTCCGCACAGGCGCATTCCGGAATCCGCTGCTCTGCAGCAAGCTCGTGGCCACCCCCGCGGGCCGAGCCCACGACACAAGGTGTCACGTCTGCGCGTCAAGGGGATTGCTCTTGTAACGTTGCGCAACGGACGTTCAACAGCTTAGCAAGAAGTGGCCAAACCCCCCACCATCGCCATTCACGTACAAATGTGTTTCTTCCATGTTGTCTTAGCATGCTTGTTTTCCCAGGAAAGTTTCACCGAGTCTGAGGGCTCTCTCTTTTTTTTTAACGACAAACCCCCACTCGTGATCTCAACCGCCACACGATGCTCCGTACTTGGGACCTGGTCGCCTTTTGGCGTCGTTCTCTGGTCCGACACTGGTGGTGGTGGTGAGACTGGGCCATAAAGAAGGCTGTCTCTGGTGTAGGCCAATCAGTTTCAAGGACAACACCCATATAAATATCAGAGCCACGTGTTTTGTTTGCATGTTCACCACAAGTACTGTGTGTGGTTAATGCAGACTTGATTCCTTGCAAAAAAAATCCATTTGGTGTTTGAACATCTCATTGCCAGAAAGGGTAAAACCTTTTTTTTATTATAACTGTTGCAAAGCGCCATGGAGTAAGGCGCTGTTCAAATGCGATATGAGATGAAGGTGAGAACAAGCAGCAAACGCGCCATTGGCAGGGAGCGTCACTGCCTGCGTGATGAGCGGTTGCGGTGGCTATGAGATGTTAACTCCCTCGCCTGGTATGCAGGAAGTCGTGGGTTCCATCCAGACCCTGACACCTGCTGCTGCTGTATATTTGGAGTCTGCGTGTCTCTCTCTCATCATCATCACGGTGGCTAGGAGATGTTAACTCCCTCGCCTGGTATGCAGGAGGTCGTGGGTTCGATCCCCACCCTGACGCCTGCTGCTGTATATTTGGAGTATGCGTGTCTCTCTCTCTCATCATCATCACGGTGGCTATGAGATGTTAACTCCCTCGTCTGGTATGCAGGAGGTCGTGGGTTCCATCCCAACCTTTGGCGCCTGCTGCTGCTGTATGTTTGGAGTTTGCGCGCATTTCTCTTCCCGTGGTCACGTGGATTTTCTCCGGATCCTCCGGTTATTCCCTCCGCGTTTAGAAACATCCGTTTAGAGTATTTGGCTGCGGCTATGAATTGACACGTGATAAACCACGTCGCTGGCCACGTCGTTTATGAAAAAGAGCCGTAATAGCACAGTGGGACCTTACCTGGTCAAAAAACAAAGTTTATAGATTAGAAAAACACGACCGCCGCCCTCACTTTTCCGGCCGCATGTCCGTCTGCGGCGCCACCACCTTGTCGACGAACTTGCCGAAGCCAATGTGGAAATCCTCGGAGAGCTCCTGCACGACGCCAGCTGCAGCCACACACAGCGCCCGAGATACAGTGCGTGAGACATGGGGCACGGGACGCGGTGCACGTGCGCTGTCTCAACACACGAGACACAGCACACAGGACGCATCACATTGACGCAGCACGCGGGACACACAGCACGGAGCGCACGAGTGCAGCCAATGCTTGTCGGCAGGGGCGTGCGTGTACCCGGATCGTGTCCGTGGGCACGGACACCCAGAGGGAGAAATTTTTGCCCGGGCCTCACACAAAAGATGTTCACTCCCTCGCCTGGTATGCAGGAGATCGTGGGTTCGATCCTGACCCTGACGCCTGTACATTTGGAGTTTGAATGTTTCTCTCCCAGTGGTCGCATGGATTTTTCTCCGGGTCCTTCGATTTTTTTCCCCTCCACATTTAGAATGAACGTGCGATTAGAGTAATTTGGCTGCTATAAATTTTCACACGATAAGCCACTTCGGTGAGCTATCATGTGTGATATGTCGCTTCTGAATAAGAGCTATATAGCTCAGTGAGGCCTTGCCTGATAAACTAAAAATAAATTTTGATTTAAAGCTTTCGTGACTGCAGTAATTCATATTCTTAGTTTTTTCGGTAAAGTCACATTGAAGAGAAACAACAAAATAATAAAATATATATAAAACAATAAAATTTTTTTTTATTATTTTGTTGTTTCTCTTCAACGTGACTTTACCGAAAAAACTAAGAAAAATAAAAATAGTTTAGTTTCAAAAAGAGGGCCGCATCGCGGGCCTGTGTTTTTAATTTTTTGGGTCGCGAATTACAGAGCAGGCCCCCCCACGTGGCATTCTGTCGAGGGCCCTCCAGGAACCTTTGGGCAGCCCTGTGCACGTGCAACGCTTTTGTTGATCCACCGCTGGACGAGGAGCTCCCCCACTGGGAGCCCACGAACTCACCCAGCTGTTTCCCCAGCTTCTTGAGGTTGTCCAAGTCGTCGTTCATGGAGTTGGAGTCGTCCATGAGGAAGTAGAGGTCGACAGGCGTCTTAAGGGGCTCAATTACCTGCATGTCAAACTTGAGCGAGTCCCCTGCACACGCACAGAGACGAAGATCCCCCGTATAGCCTTAACAGACTGTTGGGGCAAGTGCTTTTTGCAGGTAGCACCTATGAAGGCTGGAACGGTACACGAGGGGGTGGGTGGCCAGGACCACGCTTGGCCGCCTTTGTCTCCCCAGTGGGGATGTTTACGCAGCAGGTACTCATTTGAGGCCGAGTAGACCTAGAGGAGGCCCAGGACCAGTTCAGATTATCGTCACTGCTGTTGGCCATGAGCGGGAATCGAACTCGTGTGGCTGGGTTTGTAGTGCACCTCCAAATTGCACGGTTAGCTACGTACGGTGGGAAAGAAGTTCAGCATACATACATACACGCGCACACCACCTCGTCAGGGAACCCCATAACACTCCTCATCTGCGTCTATACCATGACCCGAGTTTGATTTCTGATGAAGGCCCCTTATGAGTGAACTGGTCCTGGGTCTCCCCTAGGTGAGTACCTGGTGGGTGTTTAAACATCACTATTGGGGAGACAAAGGCGGCCGGGCGTGGTGCTGGCCACCCACCCCCACGTGTGCCGTGCCGCCCTTCATGGATGCGTGGAAACAGGACTAGCCCCCAACAGTCTGTAAAGGCTACGCAAGGGATATTTGTCTGCGTCATTGTATCTGTATCATTGTGTCACCCTGTGCACTACTGTGTCTGTCCACTGTATCTGTGCCACTGCGTCTGTATCCCTGCACCTTTGTCACTCTGCGAAGACGAGACTGTTTGCAGAATTTATATTAAAAAATGGCCGACGTCACCTTGATATGCAAAGCCAGCTGAGATTCCTGTTACGTGTGTGATATATATTTAAAGCGCTTATTTTTTGCGTGTATATTCTCAAGATGAAGTGTGTTCATCGACCGGGGCCTGGAGTTCGATCCTCGCTGCTCATTCTAAACAGGAGTGCGCGGTTGTGTGGGTATGTCTGGTGGACTCGTGACTCACCTGGTCTCATCTTGATGTTCATGGACTGCGGAGACACTTGGGCGTAGCGTGAGCTCATCATATCCGAAGTGGACAAACTCTGCGACACAAAATCAGACAAGAGGACGCACATTTTAGTCGGCATGCACACACGCAACTGAAACCGGTAGCCCGACAGCCCTGCCACTCGTACCACTTTCCCACTAGCACATCCGAGCTGAGCCAGCGCACTTCACGGTACCGGCGGAATTCCACTGGGTATTTGACGTGCCGAGTCGGATCCAAACCATGAGAGGCTGACCCCCCAAGACATCCGGATCTACCTTGGGGCCAAGCATTGTCCAGGGGCGTGGATAACGATGCATTCATCGTGTGTGACGTGGGTCAGTGCACTGTGAGGACATCGTCCACACAGCGTCCTGACTAATTTGTTGACGTGCGACGCCAGTAGCAGGGCACGGCTTCTGCAGTGGAAAAGAAACCTGGAGCCTCCAGAGCCGGGCAGAGCCAGCTTGGCAAAGCCCCGGCGTGGCTCGGTTGTGCAGTGGAAAAGAGGTATTGGTGCCAGCTGTCGGCACAGACTCACTCTTTCCTCCAGCCCCACGAGAATGCGCAACACGAATCTCAACCAAATTTGAAGCCCTATGAATTCACATGATAAATATTGGCCTGACTGTCGTGCGACAGCCTCGGAGCGCTGGGGAAAGTGCGACCCCTGTATGTACACGTATGTATGTTGATTTTTCAGGGGCCCTGTAAACACATGTGGTCTTCCGCAGCCGTTCTCTGGGACATGGCGTGTACCGTTCCGTGAGATTTCCGAACGGATCCTCCGTCTCGTGGCACAAACACCGATAATTATCGCAGTTGGAATAAATTTGCGCGGGCCCAAAAAGACCGATCATTGCCGATCGATGAATCGGCACGTCGTCGGCACGCCCCAAAATACAAACCCGCGAAACGAGAATCCACCTCAGACGCTGCATCGGTTGGCGGTTCCTCATTACTCGCCGGGGCGTCGCGTGCCCCCTTCGCTCACCTTCACCACTTCGGAGGACGTGCGCACCATGGTGATCTGGCCGCATCGCTTGGCCTGAAGATTCTCCAGCAGGTCGCAGCGCTTCTCCGTGAAACCCTGTCGCACGCCGGAGAAGGTGGTGGCACAAGTCATTCCCCAACTCAATGGAAGGTGGCTCCTTCACCTCTCCTGCACCCCCCCCCTCCCTCCCCCCGTGTCTAAGACTTCATCCTCCTGCGCGGCTTCCGCACTGCCGAGAGCCTTGGCGCGGTGGTCGGCCAGACGTGCGACCGTGCACCTCACCTCCTCGAAGCAGTAGGAGCACTTGGGCCCGATCTTGAGGCATTCCCTGCAGGTGAGGGGGTTGTTTGAGAGACATTGGTTTATCCCTGTGGGGTGGGGGGGGGGGGGCGGGCAATAAGGGGGAGGGGGGGGCAGAGAGTGGGGGAGGGGGAGAAGACGCATCACACCCCACCCAATTCCGCCCTGCTACCACTCGACGCCCGCCCCTCCTAACCCCTCTGACATTTTGCATGCACCCCGTGAAACGAGGTCGTGCTGCGGGGGTTGGCCAATACTTCACAGCGCTGTTCGCCGTGGCTTCAGATATATCGCTCGCTCAAGCAACGTTGGGCACGACCGGGAAATAAGAGTCGGGTCGCCGAGCTCGCAGTGCAGTCGTTGCGTTCAAATGTCGAGCGTGCGCTTGAGCTGCTGTCCGGCACTCTGGTGCGAAAGTAGAGGATAGATGAGCACCTGGCCCGAGGGTTATGTACCAACGTTGAAGATGTGGAAAGTGATTTTCATCAACAACAAAAAAAAAACACCCTGGTACAGAATTTAATCTGCTGGGACGCGCGCACGAGCGCACGCGCATTTGAGGCGTCCTGACGAAACAAACGCTTCGCGTGATTCACAGCTGCGCATGGCGGAGCCCAATGCACGGCCGGCTCCGTACGGTGCGAAAGAAGTTCAGCACAGCGTACGCACGTTACGTGAAGCCCAGGTGATGCCTCTTCCCCGCGCAAAAAAAGATAGCGGTGCTCAACCGCCGGGGAGGTGCTCAGGCTGCAGAATGGTTACCGTGCAGGAGAAATTAAAAATGTCAGCGCCACGTGTCGGCGACAGTGCACACTCGTGCACAACGTGAAACAAATACCGTAGGAATGTCGCGGTGACGAGCGGAGTGGACATGCGATCGCTCTGTATGGTGTGGCCTTAGTAGCCTTGGGGGGGGGTGTAAGAAATCGTGGTCTTCGTTGGGGGGGGGGGGGGGCACCATACACATTTAGAATCAACATCATGCGTTTAAGAGTATTTGGCTGCTATAAATTTCCACTTCGTGGAGTTATCACTTGTGGCCAGGTCGCTTCTCACAAAGAGCTATATATCTCAGTGGGGCCTTGCCTGGTAAAATAAAAAAAAGTAGCTTAGTTAGTTTTAGCCTTGACTCACCTTGGGTCTGCCCTTGACTCAGGCCGAAGGCAGCCAGGAGCACCAAGAGCCACGCTGCCCCCATGCCCTCTCTGTCCCTGCAGGTAAAACAGACAGACACAGACATGCCCACTGAGCCCCTTGTAAGCTCCCAAGGGCCAAACGCTGCCTGTGGACCAGCCTGCCCGTGCTGACACGGCGCGTGAACGGGACAATGTTTGGCGTGCAGCGTTGCCACCTTGTCAGAGGTTGACCGAGACAGTCTGGGATTTGGCATCTTTGTCCGATTAGCAGCAAGAAATTATTTTATATCGAGATTTGGTACCGGTATTTCCACGTTGAACTTTCACTGCGGTAAACTGCACAGTTTTGATAACAGGACGTAGGCTCCTTGGTTATTTTCGGTAAAGTCACGTAGAAATAAGAAATAACAAAAAAATAATACAATTACATTATAGCGTACGACGTTTCGATTGCAACACAAGCAATCATCATCAGGTACAGAAGAGCTAAATTTAAGAGAGAGAGGAAACACATAACCGTAGATATATAGACGGAGGAGCACACTAAATCAAACGGTTTAGCAAAATTTGGAAACCATATAAAGCAACACAGACGGTCGGTCAAAACACATTTAACGCATGGTCTGGTTGATTACGCTATTTCAAATATTGTTAAATTGCAAGTTAAGTGTGAAATTTAAGAGAGTGATAGAATACAGACCGCATACACATATATAGAAGACATCCAAGCAGAACGAGTTGGCACAGGGGCACATGAGGAGAGACACGCACACAGTGAAGCAGCATCTCTGTGTCGAGGCCTTAAATAGACAGAGACGGCGGGGCTTGGACTGAAAGATAATGGGACACAAATGAGCATGAAACAGTAGCACGTACTCGGCAAAGGACGGCGCGGGTAAATGACACTAGTTGACAAGCACGCTATAACGTAATTTTCTTATTTTTTTGTTATTTCTTATTTCTACGTGACTTTACCGAAAAAACCAAGGAGTAATTCCTGCAGCCACGAAAGCATCAAATCAAGTCAGGACGTAGGCTGACTGAGAAGTACGGCTCTATGAAAAAGGTGGCAACCCCAGTGGGGTAGCCAGAACCACAGTTGTATCCCCAGTGTTCATATTTCCACACTGTACCACGTACAGTACTCCTTTAAGGCTGAGTAGATCTAGAGGTGGCCGAGGCCTGGTACAGATTTCACTCGCCATTCTTGCTCGCCGTGGCCGGGAACCGAACCCTGCTCAATGGGTTTGTAGTGCAGTGCGCGAACTACACAACCACTCTCCACAAACAAGCAACATAAAACAAAGATCCCCCGTGTAGCCTTAACAGAATGTTGGGGCAAGTGCTGTTAGCGAGCAGCACCTACGAAGGTCGGCACGGCACACGAGGGGGTGGGTGGCCAGCACCACGCCCCGGCCGCCTTTGTCTCCCTAGTGGCGATGTTTACTACACACCGCACCAGGCACTAATTTTTAGGCTGAGTCGACCTAGGGGAGACCCTGGACCGGTTCAGATCATCTTCACCAGTGTTGGCCGTGAGCACGTAAAGCATGTCACGGAGTCGTTTGCATTCGTACACGCATGGACCCAAGCCAACATGCAAATATTCACACTGGCACACACACGTCAAATGTGATGTCAACGGATCACTGTAGCTGGTACTCATTTAAAGGCTGAGTGGACCTAGAGGTGGCTGGGGACTGGTTCAGATATGACTTGCTACACACACACGTACATAAAACTTCCCGTAGAGTATGCTCAGTCGCGCACACAAAGACAAAGGTTTAGTCTTGCATACCGAATACCAAAGCGCCTTAACTTTACACGCATGCAAAGTCAAACTCGGTGGGTTCACACGAGGTCCTGGGCCATAAAATTGGCCAACCCTACAGTCAATAAAAAGTCACTGATAGACCAGAGTAGACTCAACAGGTTTCTTGTGACACAGGAGCGACGGGCGGTCATCTGTTTGGAACACATTTCTCAGCAAACAAAGGAAATGCTTGATTACAGTACGTCTCGCACGGTCGCACCTAGAGGCTGTTATATTTGGCGGCTCCACTTGCCCGATCACATCGTCGTCACGCTCACGGTCTCGAACATTTAACGCTGTAGAGGGCGCGCTCCGGCTACGTGGAATGCAGCCAACTACAGCTCCGTAGTGGGTATCTCTGCGGCAATGTTACGCTGCTGCTCCAATTAAAATTGAGAACACCACGTGCAACATTTTCACTAAAATAAATTTAAACCGCGTTTTAAATCAGCGCCTGTGTTCATTCCCACTGTTGTTGAAAACTAATCTTACGGTGCGTGGCCACCAGGACGGTGGGGGGTGGGGGGTAATGCACCCCCTCGGCTCCACACAATGCTAGTTATGCCACTGCCAAGGGCTAATTGTTACCCGAAGCATGATGGGCTACGTACGACCCAGGTCAACTGAACATGACCACATGTCTTTTTTTAGGTTAGATCGCGTAAATATAAATGTGTCGTTAAACCCGCTACCACCCGACACAGCTAATTAGTGAGGTTTGTCACGTGAACAGAACGTGGCAATTCGTTACTAGTACAGCACACCGGTTGTGTGTTGGAGAGAAAATCCAAATCGATGTGTTGCTCTCCAACACACCGGTGTGCTGTACTAGTAACGAATTGACACGTTCTGTTTACGTGACAACCCTTACTAATCGGCTGTGTCGGGTGGTGGCGGGTTTAACGACACATTTATCTTTACGCAATCTAACCCCAACAAAAACTCTACATTATGGTTGATATTGGTCACGAAAGCCTACGTGTTAAACTGAACGTGACCAACATTTTTCACCACGTCACCCTTATGGAGGGGAGTGGGTAGCGCAGTGGTCAACGTACTGCGCCGTGAACCACGGAGACCTAAGTTTGATTGCCGGCCACGGATAACACCAGCGGCGAGTGATACTGGATCGGAATTGTTTATGGACCAACGCCCTGTCACCAGCCTGCACCGACAAGCAATTGGGAAGTAGGGTCCATCATGCCATGTGTCCAACAAAGGGTCGTGAGGCCTTCATCTGAGAGGGAATTGACGCAGCGCTGCAAATGAGTATTCATTTTTTTGTACTTTTGATGGAGTTTGTGAACATTTTAAACTGGCATCGTTCGAATCTTCTGAGTGTTTTTTTTTTGTACCTCGGCGTAATGGGGACCGCGTGGGCGGTGGTAGTGGACGGGAAACCCCAACCAGGACGCTCGGGGTTACTCGTGCAACATTTTTTTTAAATATATAAATCAAGAATTGTAGTTAAGAAGACATTTTTTTATCAGCACTTATTCAGAACGGGGCTGGTACCGGTCCGTAGGTCAGGTTTAAAAGTAATTAGACCGAGGAGATGAGGACTTTCAGTATATTGCCAACGAATCGCGATGGACGGTCTGATAGCCGCTATCAAGAAACCCCGAGGAACGATGTTCGTTGGCCGTAAAGAGCACACGCAGCACATGAGTTGTCACTGCCCGTCCCCCTCTCAGATCAAAATCCAGTTACACAGGTGTCAGGAGCATAAAGTTGTATCATTATTGCTGGAATTTCCTGGAAAACTGGAGACATGCACAAATTCACAAACATCTTCCACTTCCCCAGCATACTTACGCTGCTGGTGGCTGTGACAGACTAGGTGCATCTTCAAGGCCACGTGGAGTGGAAAAGTTTCATTGGGGCAAGGAGCCACGGGAAAGGCCCAGGTGTAATGGGTATCGTAACTGAGAAGACTGTTAGATAAAACCACGTGTGCTTGCCACTTTGAGAACTCACGGCGTATTTTAACTGCCCGACGCTCTGCTTGTTGTTGTGAGTGCCATTTCGCTACTCGTTGTTGCTCAAAGGTGGTTTGCTAGCAACTGTCTGGTGGCGTTTGTCATGAACCTCCTCCACAGCAGCTGACCTTGACACTGCTGGTACCAGCCGATGGACGCTAAGTCCGCTAACTTTCAGCTCTTCCCGAACTACATCAGCCCATCTCTTCTCTGGCATGTGCCGCACCCATTCAGCCTCCAACACATGAAAACGTTAGAGTGCAGTATGCGACTGTGCTTTAAAAGTATTTATGACTCACCGATCCTCTACAGAGACTACTAAATGCCTTAATAACCTCGATATACATGTACAATGTTGCTAATATCACCCCTGCCGTATGAAATAATCAAGTAACACGTCTTTTTTTACAGCCCTTTGTCAAACCAATGTTAGAGGAAGGCCTCGCTTACACTGTGTCGGGCATGTTTGTGTCACCATACTTCACCCCACTGACGTGTAGACATTGATCGTTTATTTCCCACCGTGCGTAGTCAACCGCGCTAATCGGAAGTGCGGGTGTAAGGACACCAAACTAAACACAAAGCCAAAGCCAGAAATACGACTTGAGCCGTTGGGGCTCATTGTGCAGTGTGCCAACTATTGTGCCAAAGTGTTCATCCAGCAGCGGATTGACATAGGGCCGTTAATTTAATATTTAAGTTTATACTATGACATAGAGTAAAAATGTGATAAATTCACTTTGTCCAGTTTTGTTGTTGTTGTTGTTATAAAGTAACGCAGGGCTTCACGAATGACTTGACACCCAATATCAAGTTTCGGTATATTTAAAAAAAAATTGCAATCTTAAAATATTACGTTGGTTGGTAAATGTTGGGGAAAAACAACGCCGTTGTGTTGCATGGTATTTCTCGCGCATCTCGTTTATCGCGACGTTCCCGATGTGTTGATCCGGCAAAAAGGCGTCTCTGGTTTAGGGCCACTCCCTCGCGACCTCGATGAACCACGAGAGTGTGGATTTTATCATGCGTTCTGCATCGCGTAGCTTTTGCAACAGCAACTGCTCACGTTCCCATGATTCCAGCCCTTGTCGGCAAGAGAGATGTGTGGGTGGGGAGCGGTGACACAGTTATCGTCACCATTTAGCCCTTGAATATCCACCCCTTGCGAAGGTATAGGTCCCGACCAGGCAGGCCGACATCGCTGTCAATTCCTTATCAGTGCCCTACCTTAGACCAAATCAGACATTGTTGGTCACCCCGTGCCCTTATAAATCTCAACGTTC